TTTAGGCCTCATGTGAGCGACATAAGGATACTCTCGGACTTGAAATTAAGGAATTTAGTTCGAGGCTGGATTTAAGGCAAAAAGTCATTTATCATTTCCATCACACTTCATTTTTCTTGATATAGCAGGAGAAATATTCTACTTCTCAATCAATGAAGCGATTAAAAGTGAAGTATGATTCCCTAGACATTTTCCTAATAGAATTAACCTGCTCAAAGAACGCTATTGCAAATAGAGGTAGTATGACTAGCCGCAACTGCAAAAAAAAAAAAAAAAAAAAAAAAAAACGATAGTCAATATAACTGCTGAGAAAACAATGGAAAGAATTAATTGTTTTTTATTTTTATCAGAACATGTTGTGGCAAGCCAAGTTTGATTTAACTTGGTTTTATTCATTTTTCTTGAAAAGTGATGGTGTTATGATTCTAAAGAACTGATGAATGATCTGAAAAGATGCATATGTATTGCAGTGGGATCGAAACGATGAATCGACGGAAACAAAAGAGCGATGGAAGGGATTGTAATGATTGACAAGAACAAAAGAATGTTCGCTTTAACCTGTTTAATGATCAACGAGTTAGACAAATTAAGTTTGGAACGTGTAATTTTGAATTGACTATCTGAACAAACGCAGATCAGTAAAAATAAAGTCAGACATTCAACACAAGAACCAAAGAAAAAAACTTTGGTATATCAATGCCCACCTTTTTCTCAAGTAGTCATGTCTTTCAAATCAAATCTCCGAGATTGTTTGAGCATTCCAGGCATTTGCCTTTGAAGATATTGGCTCTGTTGATCCGAGGGGGAGTAAGGGACATTGCAACCACAGAACTTACCACAATCCCCGGCCCAGGCCCCTGCCAGTCTTCACTTTTTTTTCGTTATTATTGTATTTGTTTACATTGCGGTGAACATTTGGACCTGCATCTAGACCATCTCGGCCCTAGCATTTTTTAGGTACATCTCTGTGCGTTCAACTCATGATCTGATGGAGAGCTTTTTTTGCTTTTCTTTTCCTTTTTAAAGTTGACAGAATTACTTCGCCATAATCGTGGCCATGGTCATATTTAATTCATACCTTCCCTTGTTTCTTCTCTATTTCACCTCTTGTTCTTCCACTCCACCGCCATGGTATAAAGCATGCGTCCTCGATTTGCCGACTGATTGTCTTGTTCATATCACCATTCTTGATCCCCGCCTCATTATTTAGTTATGCACAAAGTTATAGGCCCCTCCCATGTTATTTAAGCAGTATGTGGTGTTATAGAGGGTAAGGCCATGTATGTTCCTGGGCGGCTCTGTCCTCACCACTTTGCCCACCGATCCAACTACGGCACAGATGTTTTATCTTGATCTATCGAGGCCCTGGCATACCGGCAGCCCAGCCTACCAGCAACTTTCCAATGGTTACGCGGGTAGACGGTTTGCAAGCGCACTCATGAAGAACAATCAAGAATGGTTTGTCTTCATCAACGGCACAGCCTATAGCTATGGCCTTGGTTCAGGCAGCTGGAGAAGACTTAAGCAAACCACTTATGCTAATACTGGCCTTGGACTGGCAGCCGCTACAAATCCTGTCTCGGGTTGGGTCTATATTCCAAACGGATACTATTCCATCGAAACAGGCAAACGGCTGATGACTTATGATCCAAGAACAGAAGACTATTATTACGAACAAACTTCACAGCCGGACCTTGTTCAGATGAATAATTACATGGTGACATGGGCGCCTGGGCTGAAAAGTTTATTGGTCTTTGGCGGATCCATTATTGAGACATTTTTCACTCGCGACAGTTTATACGCACTAAATGATGAAGAAGGCTGGAAGACCCTAGCAACAAACGGATTTAGGCCTTCAGCTCGACTCTTGGGCTGCTTCATCCCCGCGTATGGCGGTACAAAGATGATTCTCTTTGGGGGCCTAGGGAATGGCCCATCAGCATCAGAGCCAGGCACTGTCCTTGGAGATATCTATATTCTAGATGTTGCAACGTTGACATGGACTCGGGGTACTGATGTTGGGCTGTCGGGTGCACGAGCTGGACATGTGTGTGCCTTTAGTAATAACCAATTGATCGTCTGGGGAGGCTTTTCAAGTGGTGCAGATATCGATACATTTCTATTTATAACCTCAATACCCGAAAATGGACAACAAGCTACACTACCGAATCAAATGAACTTACAGGGAACCCCACCGAAAGTCCAGAATCGCCTAACCTGCTAGTGATCATTGGCGGTAGCATTGGTATTGTGGCCTTGCTTGCCTTCCTCGGTGCAGTATTCTGGCGTCACAAGAAAAATAAAGAGTATGTCAAACCTAGTACTGGCTTAGTGGTTTCACCAGATGTGGACCCACCTGTGCTTTTGGTCGCTCCTGAACCACTTAGCCAAGACCCGTACCGCCATTATGCTCCTCCTCACCAGGTATCAACACTAATGCAAGCACAAACCCAGACACAAGGACAACAGACATTTCCTAATCAAATCCAAACACCGGCGTAGCATACCAAGTACCAGTAGCATCACAAGTACCAGTAGCATCACAAGTACCAGTAGCATCACAACATGATTGGCGCAGCTCTTTCCAGCCACAGCCAATATTCCAGCTCTCGCCAGGGCCCCAACCATGTCCTCAGGTAGCGACCCCACCTGAGCAAATGCCTCAGCCTTTATCGCCGGCCCAACCTCAGCCTGTGTTTCAGTCCCAAACCCCCAATAGCCCAACCACAGCCACTTTCTCCAGGAAGCTCTGGCTATGTTGATCCAGAGCAGCAAAGGTCCCTAGAATGGCAGCAAGCACAGGCTGGCATGGTAAATCGCCAATAATAACCTAGACTCAAATGCTATTGCCAAACCAAAAGCATGGTCGGCGATGGCAGACACATTCATCCTATTTCTCTCATTTATCATGAACTAATAAAGGATGAGTCAAGCTATAAAGCTATATATTTTTTTCTCATCAGGCACATCTTCAGTCCTCTTTTGGAAATAGTTGTTAGTTTAAGGGACTAATCTCTCTATACAGCTAATCTTTGATACCCATGCGCATTGCAGAAGGTTGAGTCTGGCTTACTAAGTTTATTGCATCATTGGAGTCGACAGTAGAGAATCAAGCCTGATATAGATTAATAACGAATTTGAAATGTGACGAGACAAGAATGTAGATCTTTATTTTCATAGTAGAAACGAGTATTTATATCTCTTTTCTAAGCCAGGTCACTTATTGATAAGGCCATAATTTCGTTCCAAGGTTTGATAAAATGAGGAATGTGAGGAAAGAAATAATATGAAGCAAAATAATCGCCGTTGCTAGCGCCATGGGTTTATAGCTATGAGTGGTCGCGTGCGCTAGTACAGCGCTTCTCTTGTCACTGCTGCATGTTGTTCTACCCATCAACATTGCAAGCACTGCTATGTGCATCTAACTGCCTGTACTTTTGCCGCTGCCGCTTGGTGGTCTGCAGTCTCCAACGAGGCTGCGGCCGAGATCTTGCATCAACGAAGAAGCCGCGACTGCTCCAATAGTTGTCGATGCATTTCCTCTCAATGAAATTGCCTTCAAGCTCCCAGATATTGGCTTCAGGCGGGAAAGCCTTCCCATTTTACGAAGTATCTCCCTCCGTCAGACGCAGCGGTACGATGGCCGACAATATATTCAACTTCAGGAGCATCATCGCCGTCAAGATCGTCTAAGGCAAGCTTGAATTGTGATGGTGCATATGGTGGCCAAGAAGTCCGCCAGTGCAGTATTACCCCGGAACAGTAAAAGGGCCTTCATATCGAGGAAATGAGTTTGTCCTTCTTGAGCCATTTCTTGGAGAACCTAGTGGACAAATCCTTTGCCGTTATCGGATTGCAGGATACATGGAACTCCAATGGGTAAAAATATTGAACAATACAGTCGCCATGGTTTTGGAAGATTTATCCTTCAGAGGGACTAAGAATACAAATCCTGTGCATACACCAACTAAGGCAAGAAGCCTGACATTGACATTAGCCGTGCAAGGTAGCTTGCCAGCAAGAGCAACAGCCATGTGTTCGCCAGGCAGCTGTGCATGTATTGCTTTCATCGGGTGATATCCCTTACGTTCTATATTAACACGATGACATTCTGCGCAACGTCGGCATTTTCAAGGCAATCCTTGGCGAGATTGGGCCAAGCCTTATGCATAGAATGGATCTGATTAACCAATCTCATGTATAGTATGAAGTTGCATCCGCTCGGGTTCAGGTACAGTGCCTAGGATTGCCATCGCTCTGAAGCATAAGCATATATCCATAGATTTCGACACCCTTCAACAATATGTAATCTTCTGGGGATATTTTACCGTGTCGTAGGCTCTCAATATATTTCGTGTAGTTCTGTAACGCTTTGCCAGTAGGATACCTCTTAAAGCTATTGACATCGATGCTTTTCCATATGGAACCGACAAGTGTATCATGGAAGGTCTTGGAGATGCGAAGACAGCTCACAGGATCTTTTCGGCTGAGGAAGCTGCCAATATTTAAGATGATATCTGGAAGATCCGGAGGGTATTTTTGCACCGTTCATGGTTCCAAGAGACGATAACGGAGTACAGTTTTGGCTACGACAAGGTGAACATATTGAACGAGGCCCATTTATAGCCATGAATAGTAGCGAGTTTTCACTCTGGTTAACTCAGTTGCGACTGCGCCTTTAAAAAGATCTCTAAAAGAAAATAGCTGTCATTTCCGATCTCTTGAAAGGCTAAGCTTTTTTTTTTTTTTTTTTTTTTTCAATTTATTCCCGTTGTCCATCATCAAATGACACAGAACAAATGTTAGCTTTACGCTACGATCCTGTGATAAACACCGCCTGTACTCCAAAATGGATACTATTCTGCTGCGAAAGGTAGACAGCTTTAGGGGCTGCTATCCGGACAGAGGCATTTACGACTATTCCAAAACCAACTGCCAGATCGCCCTTTGAAGCAAAATTTTTCTTTGACGCAGGAGTTTTCGAAAAAAATAAAAAAAAAGCCTTTAATGTTACATGAAATGGTCGAATTATGATATACAAATACACTAGAGTCTGCTGTCTTTCTCCAAGGTTTTCTGTTAGGAATGTGTTTGGCTAGAAATACCGCCGCCATTACCACTATTGCATTACTACTACTAGCATTGCTGCTGCCACTACCACTACCACTACCACTACCACTACCACTACCACTACCACTACCACTACCACTACCACTACCACTGCCGCTACCACTGCTACTGTTACTGGCACCACCAGCACCGCCACTATCGCTTTTGCTTCCTACGCCATTGATTTTGCTGACGCTGTTGCTATTAGTGTTGTTGCTGTTGTTATTGCTGCTATAGTGCATTTGGTGATACTCTTCCACGTATGACTCGACTGTGATAGATAAATGTGAATCTAAAGGTGCGACCTGTTTCTCGTTTACAGAGTAACGGTACGTACCAGGACCAGCACCAGTATAGCTATGTATACCAGGTAGCCCGCTCACCACCCGCCGATCTCTTGATCTTGCGGTTCCAGCATAGCGCCCACCTCCACGGGAGGTGACCCAATGGATGGTGATGGCGTTCAAGGTAACGTCCAAGGTACAAGAGGCCAAGCAAATTAAGCCTCTTTCTTCTCCTTTGAAGTAGACCAAGGTAAAGACGTTTGCGGAACTAAGGACCAAAGCAATGATACATCCCATTAATGTCCTCCGAGCCACATCTCGAAGCTTGCCCTTGGAGGGGCCCTGAAGAAGGGAGGTCGAGCTCATGAGGGGGCGAATAAACAAGGCAGTCAACCAGGAAGAAAGGAGGTGTCGTAAAGAATTAAAGGAAGGGTTGCTTCGAGTTTCAAACCAATTTGACAGATCCCTGTCACCTCGTTGACCTTGGACACTCTATAAATGAACATCAGGGCCAGAATCCCTACGAATGGTAGCATCAAGACCATATTGATTCTGTATAGCTATAAAGTGAATGGTGAATTAAATGGAAGAAGAGCTATGATTAATACATGTGCGAATACGATGGCGCGTTCGTTGTTCATTATTGGTACTTATATCCTTGGCCATGATATTTCTTTTCTTTCGGTAATCTCTGCTTACTGGAAAGTCTTTTCGTGTAGAACCCACAGCAGTGACGACGTAGACCTTTTCCATCAAGAAGAGGTAGATGATAATCTTGGACAGAGCATAGAGGACGATACAAGAGAGGATGGACATACTGCAGGATATGGTATTAAAGTTGTTGGTCTGAGTCAGCATAGTGGCGACGAAAGAAAAGGCCCAGGAGACCAAGTATAAAGAAATGACGAGCCCTCGTGCATAGTTGATGGTTCCTATCGTGTCCCAGAGGTCTTGCGACCAAAGAGTAAGGACATGACTGAGATACATGCCAAGGATATGAAAAGTGAAACCGACTCTATAGGCCCAATCAAAAGGACAGAAAAAAAAAAAAAAAAGTTACTTTTAGTTTAGTTACATCCGTACAAGCCGTAAATGCGCGCGTGTGCCATGCATAGAGACTGCTGAATTTTTGATGGTTTCGAAATAAGGTGGTACCTTCGACATCTGGTCTGAACATTGTTATGACACGAATGAGATGATGAATGAAGAGGAAACAACTGAATGAGATTGTTGGATGAAACTTATTATTGCTGCTATTGTTATTGTCGTTATTGTTGTCGTTGTTGCTGAAGGAATGGGATCATCCGACCCGAGAAAGAGGAAACACAAAGTGTTTTAAAAAACCGGGTCGTGAAGTGAGGGGAAGGAGGGGGGTGAAGAATGCTAAAGGAACAAAAAGGATAAAGGGACAAAAAGGACAAAAGGGCACAGAAAGGAGGAGTGGGATGAGGAGAGGAAGATCGATTTGGGTAGACCTATTTAGGATATAAAGTATAAAGAAGTATTTATAAGTGGTTAGTGGATGTTCTACTGAGCCATTCAAACTCTCTGCAAGGGGAAAAGACGCCTTGAAAACAAAAGATGTCCACATGTTGGATGTCCTGTGCATTCGGACACACAGATCAAAACAATAAATCCTAAAAAAGGGCATGCACCAGAAGAGCAGAAAAAGCAGAAAAAGCAAACCTTTTTTACAAACACCAATTCTTTCTACATCTTATTATACAGACACCCTGCTCTTTTTTATTATTTTGTGGTATTGTGGGGTGGAAGGGACATGTAATATATATATACATGTACATATTTATTGTTATAAAGTTCTTTATATCAATGTTGCACTGCATGAATGAAAACAAATTTGAAGATGGATATCCAATTAGCGACCTTGTCAACACTCTTTCCTCTCCACTGGCAATAAACCCATGACTATGAAGAAAAAGGGTGAAAGGAAAGGAAAATGATGAGAAATTTTTTTTTTTTTCCTTTTTCTTCTTCTTTGCGTATTATACATCCATTTCATGGTTAACCTACTCTTCATTTGGATTTTTTTTTTTTTTTTTTTTTTTTTGTAGTACATATAACAGTGTACAAATGAAGCTTAGATCTAGCAATGAAGGGTCATGACTGCTGTTCACTGGATTAATACGTTAATACTTCAAACTTGACCTTGTACAATACCTGAAAGTGAAAGAAAAAGAAAGAAAGAAAAAGGCCCCTGTAGACTATTAGTGAACAGATTGAGGAAGAATATGAGAGCAAAGCTGAATAAATAAAAGAATATTCAAATTGATGTGCTGTGTTGAGTGATCAGTTAATGAAAGGAAATGAGACAAAGGATAAAGGAATAAAAGCATTTGAATGAAAGAGGCAGAGGAGAGAGAGAGAGAGAGAGAGAAAGGTGATGTAGAAGAGAGAGAAGAGAAGAGAAAGTGATGGCAAGACTGTTTGAGCCACAAAACAGGGTGGTGGGTGCGTCTATGTTATTGATTGATGATATTGTAATTGTTAGTGTTGTTTGCATTGTTTGCAATATTTGCAGGATTTTTTTTTTTTTTTTATACTATGCGCCTGGGCCGTTTGGATTATCGAGGCGACCATTCTATCCTCTATTCTGTCTAATTCGTCTTTTTTTTTTTTTTTTTTTTTTTTTTTTTTTTTTTTTTCCTTCAAAGGAATCAATCAAGTTGTACAAATTATCCAAACTAAAAGAAAAAGGGCGCTTCTTTGCCTTATGCTTCGCCCCTGAGATCTTGTGCACCAATGTTTGGACGACTTTTCAACCTTTTCAATTCTAAACAGAATAATATTTCGTAACGCATGGATTACATGGTTCATGCATGAGTTTTATTTTGCATAATAAACGGATATCAGGGGGAAATCAAATTTACAAGAGTATGTAATGTTGTTTTGTATATCTCAATGTTTGTATAGATTATATTCATTTGGCTCATGCACGTAATAGCTGTGTCGTGCTTCTACTTCCACTACATGCACATGGACGTTCGAAGGAAATGGATCTACTGCATGTTGCCCTGAATCGTGCGTTATCCTCAACAAAATTGCATAACAACTATAATTTCAAAAATATTAATATGCAATCAAATCATAATTCGACAATCTTATCCATTCGATGGATCAAAAGGAATGGTTACAGAAAGGGGTGTGGGAAGGGATCCAGGGGGGGGGGGAAGTGAGTACGGAAGATTAAGATGGAAAAAATTAATGTCTCTTTAATTTCGTTATTCGTTATCATTGCAAAGAAGAAGGAGTATCATAAGCGGAATATTTTAACAAAGAAATATGAAGTCGTGTGAATGCTATAAGATGAAACTAATATACAAGTGGGGAGGAATCGAAAGGATCTTTTTTGTTTGCTTGTTTGTTTGGTTGTTTGCTCCTTATTCATGCTGCGGTGGAGGTGTTAGGCATGCTCGTAAAGGAAGACCATGACCACTTGCGACGGTGTGTCTTGCTACCATCATCAAGACTTCCAGTAAATTATTCCTGCCTCGCTTGATAATAGAAGTGAATACTGATGATGAAGATGAAACAGAAGGTCGAGGAGAGATAGTTGTTGGGGTGGAAGCATTCTCATTGTCTGCAGTAGTTGTCGTTGTAGCAGCAAGACCATGGGATGATACATCCGGTTCGCTCTTATTTCCCCATTTGAAAGTCCCAATGACTTCATCAAGCGAGTTTGTGGTAGAAGTAATGACGTTAGTGAGAGAATCCACACTCTTTGAGAACTGTTCCTGTGCAAACTCTAGCTGACTCTTGACTTTTTTCACAGCCTTGGCCTTTGGGGTCCGGCCGCGATAATGTTCCTTGATGCAGGGTTGACAAATGCGTCGGGTGTGACCCAGCCCAAAGCATTCATTACATTCCCTACGACCTTCAAAGCAGAATTGCAGGATGATGAGTCCCTTGAGGGTAGGCTTGGATGGCACATGACGCAAGGTACCGATCCACGAGTGCACTTGTGGCAGTCCTCTGTGTGGAAACCCCGGACACACTCACGGTGTCCCTGGGCGATGCATGGTTTCGTCAACGTTGATTGCATTATTGTTTATTAAGAATGGAAAGGAGGAGGGTGAAGAAAGATGGGTGAAAAAGAGAGTGTTCAGTAAGGAGGCTTTCGAGGAATATAGTTTAAGGGAAAGGTAACACACGAATGAAGTTAAAAGAATGGTTTGTGCGTTGGAGTGAATTTGCTGACTAGTTTAAAAGAGGCGTCTTTGTACTGTTCTCTGTTATTGATGATGATGATGATAAACTAATTTTTTTATGGAAGCGGAGGGAGGATCTTGTGTCTTTATATATATTATGAAAACCAATTAAGAACCAAAACCGAAAGTGATAATGTGGGAAAAGCTCAAGCCAAGAATGACGATGGCCCACGCGCAATTAGCGTTTCTGAGGGAGATCTTGATCCCGGTGAAAAGAGTGTACTCGTGCGGATGGCATGTGGCCATTTAGGGTTATCGTCGGTTCTTTTTTGCTTGGCTGAAATAAAAAATGGCTGTGCCAAGAAATTTTATTTTTCGGCTCTTTGTCATTTCGATTCAGATTTCAATACATTTCAAAGTAAAAAGTTTTTCTAATTGACGCTGGTGCTCTATCATTATTAGCATGATCTGTGTGACAGCGAACTTTTTTTCTATTTTTTCTTGGCATGCCAAGAAAATCTACAAGTCCGGCGGATCAAAATTCAGCTCTGAGGTTTGAGGTTTATCGGACCGACACTGTGGGTTTGTATATCCATGAAGAAAAATCAATCGCGCAGATCCTCTTCTTCTCCGTCGGTCATGCAAAGAACGACAATCCCCTAGAATGAGTTGCTCTTCCTCTCTTCCTTTATTTGACTTTACTTTTATTTTGTTTATTTATTATTGTAGTTGTTAATGCAGCTTGCCAAGAAAAAAAACTTAAAAAACTATAACATGGATCTGCTATTCACGCATTCTTGGATCAAACTAGTCAACTCAATTTCAGACAAGCAACAGCAACGAAGCCTTTACGCTTATGTAAACTTAGATGAGATTGGTAGCATTTATTTTCTCTTGCTTCTATCATCACTATGCCCTTTAGATGTCCAAGACCCGCTATTTGATATGTAGCATTCTACATTCCGAATCCTTGCTCCTTGGACTTGTGGTTCAGTACGCCATACAGGCCTCTTTGATACGCGCTGACCTAGCACTCTACAATGATCAGCAATACAGGCATCACAATATCAGACCAACTCAAACGCGTGGTTGACTGCTGTAAATGCTTCATCAACACCTTGTATATTCGCCGCTATTACCTCACCAAAGGAGGCCACTCACCCGAAGAAAGCATCTCCTTCTTACTATGGCTTCCAGACGTATTCTTGTTCTTATTTATTATGAGCGTTGTAAACACTGCCTCTTTATATAAGTTTATATTAAGCACCATGGCAAAACAATGAATCTATACCTCCATTGAGCTATACAGGCGTCACTCTCTTTCTTATATATATATATAAAGAGCTTAATGTTTTGCTCAATCTGTTTCTGCAAAGCTTCGCCAGTAGGATAGTTCGGTCTATAAATATCGATGCTTCTCCATATGAAGCTGTTCAAGTGCATTTTGAAGATTTTGGAGATACAGATACACTTCAAGAGGTCTTCTTTATCGAGGAAGCTCTCGGCATGTGAGATGATTCCTGAAAGACCCAGAGAATGTAATTCAAAGCTGCTGCGCATGATATTAATATCAATGTCAACAAATGGCGCGTAGAGGGTGGTACTTGGAGAATCTGTTTGATAATTCCCTTTGATTAAGCAGCCCTGCAGGCTATCCCAAGTCTCAAAAAAGAAAATTAACCTGACACATGGCAAACTAAATAGAATTGCGACTTGTAAAATGGTGGCAACATTCCAATACTGTATCATAAGTGATACCGGTGCATTTTTTTCATCAGTCAGATATTATTTTTACCGATGGGCTTGACGTACGGTGCAACGCTGATCTTTAAGTAGCGGCATGATGTATATAGAACAGAAATATCCGGTGCACCCTTGGTACACCATAGCAGAAACCACCGACAGTGAGGGTTTTCTGAGTGGTGCATCGAAAAAAAAAAAAAAAATCCTACACCATAGTGCAAGATCCACTGGTGAAACACTGGTTGCATAATATGTGACATATTGTGCACTATGTAAGAAAACTGTAAAGAATGCTGGTAGGATATGAGGACTCTTTACGATAGGAGAGACCCCTTTTGTCTTTCCTTCCCATCATGTTAATTGTAAAAAGTATAAATAGAATCGTCGTAGGACGATGCGTGTTGTGAGGGTTGTGTATATTATTGTTTTTTCGGTGGCTTTGCTCTCCCTTTTCTTTTTTTTTTTTTTTTTTTTTTTTTTTTTTCTTTCCCCCTCCCTGTTGTTTTTATCCACCACCAAGAGCTTCTTTTTCTCATTCATTAAAAAGCATCCTCTACTTTTTTTTTTTTTTTTTTTTTTTTTTATAAATCAATAAAGTCATGACAGAGCACAAGAGCAAGAAACGCACTGCAGCAGGTGACTTTATAAATATTTTAAACTGGAAATGAAAATATAAATAAAGATAATAAATAAAGTATATTTTTAAAAGCTACTAACTATGACAATGACTTGATTTTTTTTTTTTCTTCTTTTTCTTCTCTCTATTTTGTCTATTAGAAATGGAGGACACTCCGGTGAAGGCTCTAAAGAAAAGAAGGAAAAGGGAAAGGACGAGCCTAGATCAAGCCTGACAATTCTGAAATGAAGGAGAAGGAGGAGAAGGAGAAGAAGAAGAAGAAGGAGAAGAGAAGGAGAAGGAGAAGAAGAAGGAAAACAAGGAAAACAAGGAAAACAAGGAAAACAAGGAAAAGAAAGTAAAGAAAGAAAGAAGGAAAGCAAAGACAAGAAGGATAAGGAGGAAAAGAAGAAGGAAAAAGAAGAAAAGGAGGAAAAGAAGAAGGAGCAGGAAAAGAAAAAAGTAACAGGAGACATATCCGAGAAGCAAGATAAAAAGAAGAAGAAGACAGGTCTAACAAGGAAGAATTGAAGGTTAATAAGACTGAAAAGGAGGAGAACAAGGATAAAAAGAAAAGAAGGATAAAGCTGACAAGGAGGGAAAGGAGAAAATTAGCAAGAAGGAGAAGAAAGACAAAGCTGACAAGAAGGAGAAGAGAAAGCTGACAAGAAGGAGAAGAAGGACAACGAGGCCAAGAAGGAGAATAAGCAGAAGAAGGAAAAATCAGAAAAGAAGGAAAAGAAGGAAAGGAAGAAAAGAAGGAGAAGAAGGAAAAGAAGGACAATAAGGAAGAAAACAAAGCAAAGGAATCATCGCCTTCTGCTTCTGTCTCTACCTCTACTTCTACTTCTATTTCTGTGCCAGAATCAGAAGTATCTGTCGGACAAAAACGCTGGAACGATTGGAGCCAAGCTGATTTGGGTGATGAAAAGCAAACAAACAAATTCTTGCGTCTTCTCGGTGCGAAAAAGCCGTGAGTACTTCTGAAGGAAGTTCATCACCATCTTTATCTCCTTTTACCACCTCAACTAAGACTACAAAACAGGTGGTGGATTGTTCGGATCATTGGGCTCATTTGCTAATTCGAGCCAACATACCAATGCGGACTCTGCAATCGATAGTATGGTAGGCCGACAAGTGAATAGGGATCTAGAAAAACAATTCCGAGAAGGTCTCAAGATCCGACAGCAGATGAAGAAGGGCAAGAGTGTAGGCCTTGGTTTTGGATATTAAGGAAATCAAACAAGGCATCAATAACGGTTATATATATACATGCTAAAAAAAAAAAAAGAAAATTCTGCATCAGCACACCTGCATTATCATCCTATTAAAAATTTTTAATCTTATCAGACGTTTTAATAAACTATATATATTTTTCCTTCTGATGCTGACTAAATTAAAACAAAACTGTAACTATGATGGTGCGCTATATGTTCCTGGGTATTTTTCTTTTTCTTTAGAAATAAAGAGAGTATAAACATAGGCAATACATAATATTGGAAAGTAAGAAAGACGGAAAAGATTGTACTAGTTCTCTCATGTCACCATGGTCAGAGGCGGTTCCATAGTGGTAGTGGATTCATACTGTTACTGAGAGGGGATGCTAATGAGGACCTGTTATTTTCGCCATTAGGATTGCTGTTTTGTAATTTCTGACCTGTGCTATCTTCATATTGCCTCGTGGCCTCTATTGAATATCTATTGCTCGTTCCGTGCTCCTCTTGATCCTGATCTACAGATTGAGTATCGTCGTCATCTTGATCTTCAGCATCGTCTCTAATACTTTCTTCTGTTTCAGCGATTCCTTCTCATCTATGTAAAAGATAGGTTGAGGTATCATCGCAATGGAAGAGTTAGAAATAAATAAATAAAATTTCGTCAGATTTATAATTAATAGCATTTTAAGAACATGGTTGAATTGATTGATGATGGGATATATATGTATTCTATAACTTACACACTTCATAAAGCGAAAAACTCGCATACCAGTGGATTTTGTCGCTTGGTCTAAAGCCTGCTTAGCCTCACAGATCATTTGCTCAATCGAGAAACACAGTCGTTTAAAGACCTGATCATCCTGTTTTCAGCCTCTGTTAACTCGATTGCAGCAACACTTTGCGCTAGTGCTAAATCAGCTGCGGTGACTCCACTGTCCATAGAGTAAGTGTAGACCATTCATCATCCAAAAAAAAAAAAAAAAAAAAAAAAAAAAAAAAGAAAAAGCGCAGCCGGTCAAAAGTGTTATATGTGTGGTTGCGGATCATAAATGGGATTGCAGTGTTTAGAAAGTTATAAGAGAAAGGGTTGACGGAATAAGCGCAAATAGGGATTGCATGCAGCACAAAGCAGTCAAAAGGAAAAAAAAAAAATAATAAAAAAAAGCATGATTAGCGTTGTTGGATTATGGAATCAGGAAGCCACTTGAGAGTCATACACTCCCACTGTCAAGAACAAAAAAATAAAATAAAATAAAATAAAAAATAAAAAATAAAAAAAACTCTTACGACTGTAATCGCGTTTCGAGCTCTTGGACTCTACTTGCTTGTTTCCGAACAGTAGTCTCAAGGGATTGGTTGATCGATAGAAGTGAGGCTTCGAAATTTCTAAATCTGCAATCTTCCGTTTTGTCCGTGCTGCTTCCTCTGCACGCCGACTGTCTTCGGCTTGTTTATTGGCTGCTGCATTAGCTGCTGCCGCTGCGGAAATGTTACCCTTGTTTGATCGGGTAGTCAGATGAGTCGAGGTAGAGACTGTGGAGTTCACACTAATTGCAGAGGATGCGTCATCTCCTCCGCCGCCACTGGTATAACTATTGTTGTTATTATTGTTGCTATTGTTGCCTCCATGGTTTCCATTACGGATTGATCCATTCTACTGAGACTTCCAACCCCTAGATGCAATGAGGATGAAGGGTTTGATCCAACTGTTGATCCAGACGCTGATGTGCCCACAGCTGATTGTGATGATGATGGTACAGAGTCGATTTTAATAGATGCACCTGCTGCCATCCGTACTGGTTTAGCGCCCGTTGTTCCATTATTGCTACTACTACTGTATCCAACCGTACTCGCCTGTTCGCGGCCGACCTGTGCTTCCTCCGGAACCGGCTCCTACCACACCGACTTTGGATGTTGAGGTGCTGTTGCTATGCCGACTGGAACCATCGAAGGGTAAGCTGATACCACCAGCCACACCGGCCTGACCGCCTGACAATAGGTGTAAGATGTCGTCCCGAGTTAGATCAGAGTCTTCAGAGACAGTACCATCATCTGAGGTGACAGAGCCACCGTCCTTGCGGTTACTGTTAGTGTGGTTGCTGTTGCTGTTGCTTGTCCCATTGGAGCTCCTAAAGGAGGCGGTCGTTGCGACAGAGTTAGAAGACCCACTCGAACAGATGCCAAGCGTGGAGGTGGGGCTGTATTATTACTGTTACTGTTTTGTTACTGTATCCAATCACAGGGCCGTTGTTATTACCACTAGAATGGCTAAACTGTCACCCTCGGGTTGCTAGTAGGCGTAGCAGTGGTAGAACCTGGTAAAGAAGCTGACCGAGTTGTTATGGGTTTGGTTGTGAGTGGAATAGATGAGATGTCCATTTGTGCCATGCTGGCCACTTTGGCACGCCTAGATGTTGTAGTTTGAGCCCATGCTATTGTTGTTTGTATTGTGTTGGTTCCTAGACGGAGACCTTGCTGTATTCATGGCCTGAGACAAAAGAGTTACTCAAAACGAATCGTCAAGGTGTGGTTTATTTTTTAAATGAAGAGACAGAAAAGAGAGAGAGTGAGTGAGTGAGTGAAGAAAGAATGAGCGTTGTGTTTGAAAGAAAATAGAATAAAAAAAAAAAAAAAAAAAAAAAAAGAGCAAAGATGAGATGATGGATTGGTAAACGAATCAAATGAAGTGGACAAAATGAGGAAGAGATGTAAATGTTTGTGAAGAACTCATTGGAGATAATGAGAGAAAAGGGGAGGAGAGTTACCCATGCAATGAATTTGTATTTTGCCCATGCTTCGCTTCATGAACCATAATAGCATGTTTATCATCAATGTATACCAGTTTATCATCAATGTATACCATCCATACGATCCTTGTGTTGTATAGCATGAGCATGACCACAGCATAAGTGCAAAATACGCTGTGATCCCCATCCCATCCTCTTGGCTCTTGCTCTTTCTCTTTCCCCTGCCCTGCCCAACGAATGCTCTGCTCACCCGTCTTGTTCCGTGATTTCCATTCCTGTATTTCCTCTCTCTCTTCTTTCATTCTATTCTATCTCCTGAAGTAAGATCAAGAGCCCCTCCTCTCCCATGTCGCCAAAAACCACACTTCAAGATATCCCACGCGACGACTTCTGCAGGGACTAACAATTTTTTTTTTTTTTGTTCGAATAAGGTAAGTATCTGTGTACTTTTAATTTTATCAGTTTTTATCAGAGAAGGAAGAATGCTGTATGAAAAAAGATATCAATCTAGTCACTCAGTATCCTCTAGTATGGATTTGACCGAGCAGACCTACTTTCTGTCTATCAAGATTATATTTCAAAAAACGCGTCAATAAATAAATATAAAAAAGAGAGAGAGGAAAAAACTTTAAATAACTTTATAAAGCTAGTTATATTTGTACCTTAAGCTGCAATGGTGAGCTTTGTTTGAAGATGCACTGGCAACAAGAGGCGAGGGTGTAGTCGTACTAGCAGTGGATGTCCATAGCCCAAGCTTGGCATCCTCGCCTCCTGAAAACAATATCCCACGTTTGGGGTCCCAGCATGTACTCCTGACAATCTCACTGTGTCCACCCTGCAATACTTGACAGAGTTGTAATGAATCGGCTTTTACATGTAGGATGTTGATTTACCTCTGAGTAGACATGAATTAGCTTTTTTTGTTAGTTGTGATAGAAAATAATGGAATAAAAAAAAAAAGGATGGCTACTTCTCTACTTACTCATTGGATCCAGAGATGAGGTACAAACGTCCCGAGTCTGGTTCATACTGGCAGTCGATCCCATAATCCAATGTTAATCCTAAAGCCGGATTAACTGACCCCTCGAATGTCTCCAAACTGATGAATCATCAGCATCATCACTATTCCACAATGATAGCGTCTCCATGTGACTTAAACAATAGATTATTCTGAATTGGGTCCAAAGTAGCCAACTCTATTAATGCTGGCCCCCGTGTTTGAAACCACTAGCAATCCTTCCTCCTATCCATGCCGTGAGGTCAAACTGACAAATTAATCCATCTACAGTCCTGTCATGACACGTGCAGGGTTCGTAGGATGAAATTTGACATTGGTAATATCATCACTATGGGATTCATCATATTTCTTGAGAATCGTTGAAGTGTTGGATCGAGCATCAAAGAAAAAATACTGGCATCATAATATCTATCAACTCTGATCCTGCGGCCAATATTTGCTCCGATATATTGATTCAAATGAAAGCAATGAGTATACGATGGCCTAAGTAGGAAGGAAAAAAAAAACATTGTCAAGGTATATGGATTAAGCATAAGTATCATTCATATTTCGCCAAAGCTAGTGGCAAAACGAAAAAAATATAAATATAAATAAAACACACACCAATACTGCTAAATAGCTGAACTGGACCTCCGTCTTACGGAGATCCCAGACGGCAACAGAGCCATCTTTGAGGACGACATGAAATATGCTCATTGTGGGCCTTTATTTGCGTGATGGTATTAGTATGGCCTCTGAGTAAGCTTTTAATAGCAAGTGTTGTAGGTTGTATAGCTTGATCTCATGGTTCGAGGCGGAAACGATCAATTAGAGCTGTTGGCTACAATGTCAAAGACGTAAATGTCGCCATGAAGAATGCTGATGACTGTTTGAGACCCAGTGGCGGCTGAATCAGACGGGTTCATAAGTAATGGGATCTGAGGAGGAATACCGTCATTCATGGCGAAATTATATTAAAGGAACAAAGAGACAAAGGGACAATGTTTGCCAATACACTTGACAGATAATGGTGGCGCGAAAAAAAAAAAAAAAAAAAAAAAAAAAAAGTTCGAAACAAACAACATGGTGATCATTCAAGAAAAATGGCAGTCCGCACGCCACCAATAGAGCGGAATGGACGTCAAGATTCGGATTGACGTGACGCGACACGTCGTGACCAGTTGTAGCCTTTAACATCAGGCTAAATAATCTCTAGCGACGTAGAAAGAAGTAGAGGGCCATAAGTCAAAGAGCTACATTATCGGTGCTCATATGATCTTGCGTCGTTACTCACTACCTTCTTTTGCACTCCGTCATCCGGGCTTGCTATGGAACGTATGAGCAACCATCAGTTAACAAATGTTGAAACGCACCTGCAATAATTAATGCTTCTCGCTTTATATGATTAGGATTCAATAAGCCTAACCGAGCAAGTATTTGATAGGTGTACTGCCCCATACATGTGTACTAATTAGTTAACTCCCAGGTCGTGCATGATGACCAAAAGTTGCTTTTAGTTTTAAACCAAGATTCTCAAACTATCCACATCGACGAGGAAAAAAAAAAAAGGCCAACCATGATTATGAAACAATTAGCTCATTATGCAACATCCAATGTGGCATGCATGGTGAAATATGGGAGAAAGATAAATCTTTGTGGCCACTTGGAACGAAGTGATTATTGGTTTCAACATAACTCATCATTCCCATGATATCACTATGACGCACACACGAACACACTCTCTGACGGCCTTCGTTTGCCTTTTCTGCATACCGATGTTTTATTTTTTTGAACATGTCTCCTTTTTTTTTTTACGTCTTCTGTTCTCTCCTTGAAAAATTTAGCCCAAAAAAAAAAAAAAAAAAAAAAGACGGCAGGCATCACAACAATAGAGAAAAAAAAAAATGAGGGATAGACATGCACGCCAAGAAACGGAGAACTACGCGTGGGAGACAAAACAATATAAATAATAATAAAATATGGTGGGATGGACTCTCAATCCATCGGGAGATTACATGCAAGGCGCACTCACGCGTCGATCCACTTCTGTCTCCTGAATTCCAAACCCCGTGGACGCAGATGGGTTGCAATGACACTCTTTTGGCACATTATATATGCATCTCTGCTGATCTGCTCGCCACAGACGAAACAGCCATCTAGCAGATTAATACATAAAGAACGGCAGCTGAAGAAGAGCGAGAGCAAATGAGAGGAGACAGGAAGAGGGGAGAGGAGATTGAAGGAGCTGTGTTACATTTTGAGCCCAGAGGCCAATGACGATAGACACAGACACAATATCCGACCATGTGCCTTTATTAGCTTTTGTAAATGCCTTTTAAAACAAGGAGGCAGCACAGAGGCCAAAGAAGATAGAGAAAGGAAAGATAAAATGCAGGTTTGTTCTTTTCTTTCCTTTAAATTTTTTTTTCTCATTCCACTCATTTGAATGTTTATTTATGGATTTTTCATTAATTCTCTGGACTTGTCACGGGTCGTGCAGATCTTATTGCTCACCCTTTTTAGGCATGAAACTTGAGTGAACTATGAGCACATTTGGATTAATCGTATGAATGATGGGCGTCTAGTAATGACAATGCAATGGTTATGGTTAATGAGTATTTGCTATACAATAGTTTATTTTGTGGTACATTCATCAGTTTTGTAGTACAAAGCAAATGTAATAGTCCTAATCTGTGGTTACATTTGTCGAATCCTTTGTATTCATAAAGTAAAATAATAAAAATAATTCCACATTCCAGTCGATACCGCATACTTCTGTGCAGAAACACAGATGGACAATATAATCCAGCACAGACAATCCACACAAATGAGGAAAGAGTGAAATCCCCTCCTTGTCACTCACTCGCAGCTTAATGTCTTCATCCATATCATCCTCCATGGGTCCATTGATCAATAAAATGATCTTATCTTAGGATCTGAGAGAGAGTAAAGGAAAAAGGAGGGATAAAAAAAATAAAAAATTAAATATAAAGATTGGAATTCCACCATTATGCCGGCACTTTTTGTCCTTCTCGCTCTATTTTCTATCACTCACAACACATTCGTTAGCTCTTTCCGCAGAATTGCACTTGGCTATCGATCCATTCGTTCGTCGATCGCCGATCAACCTTGACTCGCTATACGGGATCCCCATTTCGACCCCTAATATATTATTATATTATCATTATTTTTACATCTCATTCTGATATAAACACAAATATTGACATCCCCTTCACACTTTCTCTTTATCCCTTCCTAACCTTGACTTCCCTCCGTGCTGGCTGAGAGGTCCTTAATAGTTTACCGAATACAACCAACAAACAGCTCGCTTTTTTTTTTTTTTTTTTTTTTTTTCTTGCCAACCATTAGCGCGCTACCTTCCCCATTTTCCACTTTCCATTCTCCACTTTCCATTCTCCACTTTCCATTCTCCACTTTCTACTCGAGTTCTGCTCTCTCTAATCTCAACCCTTCAGTCCCACCTTCCATCCTCCATCCTCCATCCTCCACACTCTACTCCCATCCTCATCTTCTCTCGACGGTACAAACAAATATACTAAAAATAATATATCGATTCCATAACCATGGACCAAATAATAGTAGTGGGCTTTATATGCAACAAACATATTCATTTCTCAGCCCAGAGACTTTTGAGACATTGGTTGAAGGTTATATTAATCAGCTGCATATCCGTAAAAGAAACAAAGCCCTTATTACAGCAACTTGCGAACGACTGTTTGATGGTTCTTACCAACCCTGAGAATACAGCGATCTTCAACCCAAAGTTTAGATGGTGGTGCGCAAGCACTTTGTGTTCACAGTCGTTGGTGATCTCCGGATCTTGCTTGACAAGAAGAATGGCAAGCCAGTGTGTGTGCGCGAGCAATTGTATGATAAAGTGTGCTACTTCCACCATATTATAGGCCACGGTGGACGTGACAAGACATTTGCAGCTGTAAGTGATCGAGGGTGACACAAACCCTAAATTACTCTGTCCCTTCCACTCCCCCTGAATTAGCCCATTCCACAAGACAAGAAATGCATGCACAACAAAATGTTTCTTTTTTCTCCAGATTCCTTACTCCTTTTTCTCCTTGACCACATATTTGTTCATTTCGCCAATACCAACTAACGGCGATTTTTTCTTTCTTTTTCTTGAATTTCTTACTTTTCTTTCATTTCTTTCTTTCCTTACTCCTTCATTCATTTGCTCATTCGTATTTATATCGCCTCCACGTTTTTCTCTCCCCCCTTTGTGAATTATTCTCCTTCTCTACACGATCGACTCCTATAGATTACCAAGTCATACTCAAAAGTCCCTGCTGAGCTCGTCTCGCTCTTCACAAAGAACTGTCAGACGTGCCTTGGTGTGCGCAAGTACAGCAAGAACAAGCGTCCTATCTTGAACGAGAATGAGTACCCTCAGCATAACCTCACTCCCACTCACAGCCATCGCAACAGCAGCAATCATCCCAACCTCATCCACCATCACAACTACAACAGCAAGAACTACAGCAGTCATCTCAACTCGCTTGCGATACCGCCAATTACTCTGGTCCCTCCTCTAGCACATCGCAACTATACTTCAACAACAATACAATAGCATCATTTCCAAATGTGATCAAGGAACCATGACTCCTGTTTCACCCATGATACATTCATCCAGCTCTGGCTTCTTTTGCGACGGCAGCAGTACTATGGATACGAGCTACCTTCAGCATCAGCATCAGCAGATGCAACAAATGCATAACGCTTTGGATATGAACGCTCATCAGATCAGTATGACTTTGGATCTTTCAGAGATGACTCTAGGAAATAGTCATGTTGCCAGCAATTTCAGTGAATTGTCTGGGCTAGGTCAGTTCCAATCAAGTCTATCATCTTCAGCAGTACTTGCTCGACCCCCATCATCATGGCCAAGATGGACCTGCCTGGTTTACATTCCTATGACCCAATAGTAGGCAGGCACATTGCTTCCTCTCAGTCATCTGACCCAGCAGAGCCAACAATACCATAACGCATTGAGTCTTGGATCTCCTACCGACCTTGATTCGCAATATGGTTACCATGACCAGAATGATGCCATGGCGTATCCTTGAGCTCCAATGCCCAGTACTCGCCCCTTTTGGATCAACACTTACCAAACTCAGCAGCAGTATCAGCAGCACCCTTTCCAGAACAATGATTATACCACTACCTCTTATGATCAGCAACAGCAGCTTCAATCGACTTATTCTGCTGCAATGTCGTTGACATCCATGCCATTAATGCAGCAGCAGCAAATGTTTTATGAGCAACAGTTACAACAGCAGCGACAACAACAACAACAACAACAACAACAACAACAACAGCAACAGCAGCAACAACATGAGTATCAGACACAAGGCTCACCTCTTCTTAATCAAACCAGATATTTCAAAAGCAGATAGAGCAAGAACAGCAGCGATTTCATCAACAGCACAGTCAACAGTTGAGTGTGTCTACGTCGTTCCCGACCCTGTCAGGATCTGAATCAACGACTTCGTTATCATCGCCTCCTCCTTCAGCAGTGTCCTCGCTGAATTGTTCCGTTTCAACTCCAACGACGGTGATGTCTCCAGTAGCGTCAGTGCTTGCCTCCACAGGAGGAACTCTTCATTCGACGAGTAGTAACCATAATAGCTTTAATGTTGCTACTGGTCATCTGCACTCTTCACACGCATTATCGAGTCTATTGGACCATGAGCACACAAAAGGGTCATCACCATCATCATAATCACCACCATTTGACTACTGTCACCGATCTGATCTCTGGCTAAAAGAAACAAACAAAAACAAAAAAAAAATATATATACAAAAATTATGCCCAAGAATGCCTTCATTTATTTTATCATAACCTTTTTCATGGTTACCCATTCTCACCATCATGTAAATATTTTTCTTTTCATTTTTTTTCATTTTTTTTTTTTTTTTTTTTTTTTTTACATGTCTGTATTATTTCATGTCATTCACTCTTGCTGTTTTTTCTTTTTCAGATACCCACTTTTCCCAACCCCAATTCTGTCTTTCCTTCTTTTTCTTTTCTTTTCTTTTCTTTTCTTTTCTCTCTCAACTACTACACAGATAGACTTTTTTTCTTTTTTCTTTTCTTTACTTTTAGAGACGATTTTATATTCAATAGTTTTAGTTTTTTCTTTTTTTTTTTCTTTTTCAACAATGATGAATTCTTAGACATTTTGTTTTATTTCTGTAAACAAAGCATTAAAGCGCGTTTTAAAAATTTCTGAAGTCGTATTTGTTTTTGGTGTAAAAAAAAAGTAGAAACGAAAAAAAAAAAAAAAAAAAAAAGCTAGGAGAGTGAGATAAACTATTGTTACATTGTTGATGATAAAGCAGAATGATGAAATAATTTTAAAATTTTTTTTGTTCTAACACACAAATAATCTTCACATCTTTGCTCGTTGAGGCTTTGAAGAATATCCAAAAAAGATGGGTGAAATCCTTGCAGGGTCCATTGTTGTAAAGGAAGGATGGGAAGGTAATGATGATGGAGGGGGTAGCGATGATGTGTGAGGTTGAGGTTGTGGTTGTGGTTGTGATGATGTAAAAGCGCGAGTCATGGTTGTATGGCTCCTCCGTTGCTGGAAAAACAGACCCGAAAAGGCTGGATGCAATAGAGATGGATCTACCATTGTAAGGAAAAAAATAAAAATAAAAAATAATAAAGATTCATTAATAAAGTGTATGCACTAAGAAGCAAATGTTCATATCATAGACAATATCGTTCAACTTTATCCCTATAGCGATTTTAACCATGTAAAAAAGAAAAGAAATATAAGCTTTACCAATATTAGGGCCCTGCTGGATTTTTTGCATTGGATAGTGTTGAGAGATATGAGGAGGAGCTCTTCGTGCGGGACAGTCTAGTGGACAACAGGTAGAGTAGTGTTGATGTGCTCTTTGGTGAGCAGGCGATCCGCTACTGAGATGAGGAAACATTCTCCTTTCTGAGAATGATTTTGAGTCAAATTTATTGTTGCTTGTTGAAGAATGAAGGGAAGAATGAAGAAAGGAACTTACATGTGCTGTTAAAATATCACTTTCCTTTTTCGGGATTAAACCTACTGCACGTCATACACGTAGGAAAAAGAACTAGCAGTCACGCGTCAGGCAGGCGTCAGGGCAAAAAAGACCATCATCTCATTAACAATGTCTTCAGTGAAAGCGTCTCATCCTCCATCCTTATATAGCACCATTTCCGTAACGTGTTTACCCAGGACCCTTGTATCCTAACTACCCAATTAGCAACAACCAACATTAGAAAATCACGATGGTAAACCATAATCCATGATGGACTAGATGGAATACTTGTATCAGGATAAACGAACGACATGTTGGTTATTTGGTTAATAAAAAAAAAAGAAAAAAAAAAGAAAAGAAAGAAGAGCAGGACCAGTTGCTGAAAGAATCACTCATCACCTCAACTGTCAATAGGTTGTTCTCGCAATCTCTGTCTGCACCAAGAGCGGCAAAGGTAAAAAAGAAGATCATGGAGTTTCTACCAACCTGACCTGTACCCTTTGTTTTGCTCACATTACACTCTTTGTTTCCCATCCTTCCTTCGCGCCGTAAACAATGCTTTAGCTCTCATCTCGCGTCAATTCCGTGAGATGACAAGAGCCAGGATTGAGGGCCTGATTGCTTCCTTCCCAAAATTGACTAGCAGTGGACAACAACATACTACCATTGAGACAGAGCATGTGCGATATGTTTACCAGCCATTGGAGGACTTGTTTGTGTCCTCATCACCAATAAGCAATCCAACATTCTTCAAGGTATGATGCGAATGTTCATTGCATTCACGGAGCAAGCAAGCCAACCTCATCCTCAGTTTTTTTTTTTTTTTTTTTTTTGCTCTTTTTTATATATATAATTTTTGTATTCTATGCTCACCTGATAAATAACGGCTGTGTTCCAATTAGATATTGACACGTTGCAATTGGTCTCCCGAGTTGTGTCCTCGATCTGTAGACCTACTGATGCTCGTGAGATTGACAGAAACGCGTTCGAACTGCTCAGCTCGTTTGACGAAATCATTTCGCTAGGAATATAGGGAGAACGTCAATCTGGCACAGGTCGCCAGCATTTCCGAGATGGAAAGTCATGAAGAAAAGATTCAGGAGATGATCGAGAAGGTAAAAGGAAAATTGTGAAAAAAAAAAAACACCCGTAACCATTTAAAACCTTTCTGAGTCGATCAACCATTAGCCTGTCTTTACCATCTTTCCCACCATTCTAATTTGAAATATTTTTGTTTGGGAATTGATGTCATTTGAACCGAGTAGAACAAGGAACGCGAGGCCAAGGAAGAGCTCAAGCGAAGGGCAAAGATCCTGGATCTTGCAGAGGAAGGAGCAGCGAAAGAACATGGGCGGCATGGGCGGCATGGCATGGGAGGCGGTTATGGCCAAGGAATGGGTGGTGGATATGGCCAGAGTCCTATGGGCTTTGGCAGTCAATCCGGTATGGTATGGGTGGCATGGGTGGTATGGGTAGCATGGGAGGTAATCAGGGTTACGAATCTCCTGTTCCTTCGGATGATGGCCTCTCTAGATTCAAGTAAGGGCACTGTGAAACTTTTTTTTAAGCTCATGATGGAGTTGGAAATAGAACTAACAACACTGTTTCATAATCCGAAATAGCAACCCTGCCCCCAAGGCGGCACCAGCAACAAAAGCAAGAGGAATGCAGCTCGGTCGCAAACAAAACAACACAGATTTGTTTGAATCATTGCGTTCAGAAGTGGAATCAGTACCTGTTAGTCAACAACAACAGCCGCAACATGTCCCAGCTCAGTCCAATTATTCTGCACCCACTCAACCTGACTTTCCTATGGAGAGCGTACATGTTCATATCGAAGAGAAGATCACAATGGTTGCTAATAGAGATGGTGGTCTGGAGAACATGGAAGTGAAAGGTGATCTGATGCTCCGTGTCTCAGACCCCTCTTTCACAAAGATCAGTCTCTCTCTCAGTCATTTGGATGATTCGAGCATCCAGTTCAAGGTAAGACTTTTTTTTGTACAGACAGGCAAAACCAAAAATCAAAAAAGAGTTGAATGATTCTATTAACGTAATCTTCCCTTTGTTTTTGTTTTCTACTTTTTACTTTGCTTTGCTTTTATACTATGCCCGTAGACCCACCCCAACGTTAACAAGGTCTTGTTCAATAGCAACAAGGTTATTGCTTTCAGAGATTCTTCAAAAGAGTTCCCACTCAACAACTCCTACAGGAGTATTACGATGGAGATTCCTCAGCAAGGATGAGACTCTATTCCCTTGTCAAGTACGTTTAAATCTTTTTTTTTTTTTTTTTTTTTTTTATCTCTGGCAGGACTTGGAAAACTATGATCGTGCATTTTCTGATCTTTTTTTTTTTTTTTTTTTTTTTTTTTTTAAAAAAAAAACATTAGTTAATTGTTGGCCATCTCCTGCTGGGGATGGCTCATGCGATGTTAATATGAATACCAGTTGGAAAATGAGGCTATGGAATTCAAGAACGTCAACATCATCATTCCTATCCCGTATGTTCTCTCTTTTTTTTTGGATATTGTTTCTTTTTTTTTTTTTTTTATTTTTTTTTATACTAATAGTTAATTTTATGAAACTAATTTTCATTTTACCACTTTAACTATCTTTCATTTTTAGACAAGGAACAAGCCCCACAGTCGGTGAAGCGGATGGTCATACTTGTAGATCGTCAACAAAGCGCGTTGATCTGGCAATTGCCCTCTATCAGCTCTTCGAATCCATCAGGCACATTGGAGTTCAACTGTCAGGGCGAGGACGCAGAAAGCTTCTTCCCAGTTTCTGTTCAATTTGAGAGCAGCGTCTCATTTGTGATGTCGATGTATGTATCATAAGAACCAGCAAAGTCTATATTTATGCAAATATATAATGTCTAATAACTTTTTTTTTTTTTTTTTTTTTTTGAATGATATATAGGTCACTGCTGTCACGCTGGTCGCCGACGGCTCGGAAGTGGTTTTCTCCAAGCAGAGCATTTTGACACCAATTGAGTACAGTGTCGTCTAGATTCTTTAGTTTCCAACTACAACAACAATAACGACAACAAAAAAAAAGGAAAGAAAAGAAAAAAGAGTGGATTAATATATTGAAGACCAATGGGGCTCTTGTGTGCGACATGGCGCATCCATGAAGAAAGTAGTAAATCAGAGCCATTCAGGAAAAAAAACATAAAGCATTAAAATTTTTATAATTATATCGTGAGAGATGGGTATTTACAATTCTTTTGATAAACATTTTGACTCCATTGTCGCATTGATTGTCTGATATAAAATTTTCAATCCTCATTTTACTACATACTAAATCCCGGTCATCACATTATGACAAATTATTCTTTTATTATGACATCTAAAATATTGAAGACTAGGATTCTACAATCACTTTACAACCGCAGTGCCTGGACAGTCCTTCCAAATCCAACAGCAATCCAGTCCGGACAGAGCTTGACCATGCAATCTGATTGACTTCCCCTCCTACATTGGCTGCGCGGAAAGGTTCGTGCAAACACACGGGTTGTGGATGCTGGAGGGACTTTTTGCGTTCGAACTACTGTTACGGCTGAAGTTGCTTTGCCGTGATGATGTTCCAAGTCCTCGCCTTTATCGTTCCTATTTGATTCACTTCCCAGATAAACACCTGATGATCATCGCCTATTTTTTTTTTTTTTTTTTTGAGGAGATATAAAATATTGAGTTATGGCCGCATTTCAATATAGATTAAAGCAAGTCAAGTCGAGTCAAGCAAAGTGCGGAATTGTACGCTTATTCGTACGGCAAACTAAAAATACTTACTTCCGGTGGCGATCTCAGAGCTCCCAATAGGTGACCATGCCATACAATTAACAGCACCTTTATGTCCTCGCAGTTCAGAAATCGGAATACCTGGGACACGGATATCCAGAATTTGTACACTTGAAGAATCCATGTGAAAAGTTGAAAGGTAATTAGGATCCAATTTGGTTAAACGAGAGTCGTAAAATGGTACAGGTGGTTGAGCAGCCATTTGGGGATTGCTGGATTGCATTCCTGGGATAGAAGATGTCGTCTCGTAAATGATCGTTGAGTTTCCAATGCTCTGAGGTCGAACATACGCACGCTTCCATCTGCACCCACACTAGCAAATATATCCGAGTTGTTATTTGCAAATGTAACGTCGTAAAACCTCCTTGTCGTGCGCAATCAGTTGAGTCTTTGCCTGTTGTGTCTCTACATTCCACACAGTGCATGTTGTATCGATAGAACTGGTAACAATGAGCGCCGGATCAAATGTAATTCCATCAAAAGATGTCAGAGTGCACAAAAATTTGCCTTTGTCTAAAAATTTGCAATGACAACGAGAAGAGTAGCCTTATTTGTCAACATATATTTCTCTCCGAGTTCACGCTATTATAAGCTCAACAACAATCACCTGTAGTTACAAGTTAACGGAGGGAGAAAAAAAAAACTAATATGTATGCTTACATTAGCAGTAGTACTGCTCTTTGTGCGAGTTGTTGTCTGATAACTGTGAGGATGTCTTCGTCCTATTGTGTTGCTGCTCTCGTTCTGATCGGGATCATCCTTAAGATCCCATAACCGCAAATAATCGCCTGTTGTTGCCAAAAGATCGTATGGTCTTCGATGTCCACCCTACATTGTTGGATAAGAATTCATTTGGTTCAACAACAGCATTTAATAAGTATCTGTTAGAATTGTTTTATTTTTTTTTTTTCCCAAGTTATCGACATGTCAATGTCCTTCATGTTTTCCTTAATTTACCTTGTATGGTTCCCATTTGATTCTGGTTACAGGGTACTGTTGATAGTTCGTTTCTGCTATTGCAACCCAGTCAGACATAGAGGTAGGATTGTAATCTCTGCCCTCGCTCCCAGCAAATTCTTGTAGTGTAATGACTTGAATCTAATATTCCCATATAAAATAAAGAAGAGGTCTTCCATTCTCATCAACATCTGAGAAACAAGAATGAAATACATGGATATGTTGCTTCTATGGCCTTGTAGTGAGGATCGAAAAAAAATTAAATAAAATAAAATTAACCTTGTTGCTTCCATCCTCAATAAAACTTCCAACAGCTAGCCTAAGAGCTTCTCGTTCTGTAGCTGGTTGGACCAATCGAGACCATAGACTGGCCATGGTGCAGAATAGTTGAGGATTTCTTTGCGTGGATGTCTAAAGGAGGATGACGATGACGATAGTGGACCTGATGCAACAGGTGAAGACGAAAGCCCATAGCCTTGAGCAAAGCTCGTTGGCACTGAAGTGTTTTGAGATGACATGGTTACTATGTTGTCAGCCAGTATCTGGTTATGTGTAGGCTATACGGCTATACACATGAAATGAAATGTTGTTGTCGTTCTTTTTTTTTATTATTTTTTATTTTTTTTCAGCGTAGGCCTTTAGATGCTCTGAAGAATGTTGGGTAAGTATGTAATGCAGGCGTGAAGTGTAATGGACCGTGCAAATGTCGAGCATAGACTCTTTGAAACATTTATCATGTGACTACATCTTCTTAATTGACTATCGGTTGGGCTTTTGGGATTTTGGCGGCCAATAAGAAAAGAGACAGTTGGGTGGTTGTCTCTTTTCTTTCCCGATTACTCATTAAACCATCATCAGTTTTTTCTTACGCCCTAATGCAGTTGCCATTCTTCCTTAAGAAGCCCGCCGTGGCCATCATTGGCGATACGTGTTATACGTCCTTGATTGAAGATTTTAACTACCGCGATGTCCCTTGCATCAAGTATGCCATCTCAAAGGGTCTAGGGTTTGGAATTGTTGCAGGAGGTGCCATCGTCAAGGTGCCACAGATCATCAAGATCATTAGCGCTCGCTCTGCTGTCGGTGTCTCACTCTCTTCCTACATGCTCGAGACCCTTGCCTGTGTGATCTCACTTGCCTACAATATCCGTCAGAACAACCCCCTTTCCACCTATGGCGGACATTCTTCGTCACAATTCAGAACTTGGCTATCTTGGGTCTGATGCTTCATTACTCTGGCAAGAACACCACAGCTTTTGTCGTTCTCTCCTCTTTCCTGTTCTTGGGAAACATTCTTGGTAGGACCACACAGTTTACTCAGGTTGATGGGCTGTCATCACCTCCGCTTGGGTCTCACCAGGTGCATTGGCCTTTTTGCAGGCTGCCACTATCCCCATCAATTTGTTCTCGAAGGTACCTCAGATCATTGAAAACTACAAGAACGGAAGTACAGGACAACTCGCAGCATTCACTGTCTTTAATTACTTTGCAGGATCTCTTGCCAGAGTCTACACTACATTTGACAGAAGTAGATGACATCATCATCCTATCCGGTTTTATGTTGAGCACGCTTTTCAACTGCATCTTGGCCTTGCAGATGGCTTTGTACTGGAACAACAAGGCCCCTGCTGTACCAGTCAAGGGCGAGAAGGGAAGCTCCTTGGCGGGTCCATCCGAGACCAAGAAGCGCGTCAAGAAGCTCGATTGAGATGGGTGGTCCAGTGGTCGTTCAGGAATGGATAGAGCGTGGCAGCGAGGGAGGGTATTGTGGGAATCTGCAACACAGGGTTACGGAAATGCAGGGGAGACAGATTTTTCAGACGAGGAGATGGGGGATGATATGAATGAAAAGGAAAGAAGATCCAGGACGCGATCACGGGCCATCCGAATGACGCGTTGGCAGCGTATGATAGTCTTACAGATAGGAAGGTTACGATTACAGCGGTTGATGGTGGCCGTTGGGGTGGGGTGGCTGGTTTAGTTTACAGTGGTTGATGTACAAGTGGATGACCGAGGTCCAGTTTGAGGGAGCTAGGGATCGGTTCCGATGGCGACAAGGTTTACATGGTGGACCCATTCGTCCAACTGGGACTCTTCCAAGGACTGGAAATATGGATAATAGCAACATAGTTCTCAAAGTTTTGCCATAATGTTATAAAAGGTTATCAGAAAAAAAAGGAAAAAAAAAATCATTAATTAAAAAGCATTGAAGGGCCAGACCTGCGGGATAACAGCACATGTCTATCAAAGCACGTTATTGAGATCAGTATGGGATCCGGCCTGGAAAGTGATTATCAGCCATCTCTTCTTACAATGTGCCCGCAGAAATACTCAACATATAGATACCAACCACCTTTCAGAATCATGGTTCAGGGGATGACAAAAATAAATTTATGCCAAACTGAGTCAACTATGTTTAAAATGTTGGTTGACAAATACATTTTAGATGATATTTCTTTTGTGCCAAGGAAAATGCATGGCCTAGGACTGTCCCACAGTATGGTAGAGAATCGGTGCTTGATTTACGTGTTGTAAAAACTACGGTCAGAGAGAATCTTGCTAAGAGAAATGTGTGCGTATAAATATATTTATGATCTTAGCGCTTTGCTATCCTTTCCAGTGGATGGTCATATCCTTTTGTACGCCGGAGGACCGAGCAAAGAGTCACTCTATTACTGGAGGTATAGATAACATCGCCCCTCTATCTTGTTTATGCCCTAATAACGAAAATAAAGAAGCAAATGTACTGCTTTTATTATGCCTTTTTTTTTTTTTTTTTTTACTATTACTCCAAAACACTGATTGAACGATATTTAATAATGATTCTTTTCCATATAGGTTTGATAGGTATATTGTGGAAGCTTGTGGAGACACAAATACAATGTACGAAGTCTCCATGGTCTAGAAATTGGCAACGAAATTTATAGCAATGAAGTGTTGAAATGTTGATAGTGATTTGAATGAGAGGCAATGAGTAAATAGCATTGAGGGATTGAAGAGCGAGAGACTACTGACGTCTTTAAATGAGAGGTACTTAGGAAAGAAAGGATAGACGAGAGAAGGAAGAAGGAAGAGGCGATCTTTTATTTCCTATTCTGCACCTGTTCATGATGGGAACACCAATAAATTCTACATGTAAACATTGTGGTGGCAAGTGGAGCAGGAGCGAGGATAGGAAGCCAAGAATAGTTTTATTCAGAGTGAGCTTTTCTATACTTCTTCGGCTTGGAGAGTAGTAATCTTCATATCAACGTTGCTAGGCAGATAGAACGATGGGTTCAATATCTTAGACGTTTTAACATCGCGGCACGTGCGCCAAAAATTGAATAATTGACCATGTTTGTCTCAGATGCATCGCCATCATCAGCACAAGCATCCTTCTTCCCATGAACAATAAAGTGAATCTCTTGGATCTCCCAGAAATCATCTCGCATGTTGGTCGCTTTCTCGATCAGAATGACCACCTGATCTGCATTCGCGTCTCCAAGATATTTTACTCTACTCTTATCAGGTCCATATGGAGGACAATCTTGGTTTCATCTGTACAAGGATATCCATCTGGCGAAGCACTGCAGAACAACAAGAAATACATAGAAGGGATTAGACTATATGGCGACATTCCAAAGGAGTATTGGTCTTGCAGGGATGTCATCGCCTCGAGTTCATCGCTACGAAGCAGTGTCAACACGGTACATGCCCGACCCAACCCAACTCTCAAACCTCATCAACTTCATAATTCCACCATCACCAGAATTCACTTAACCAGGTATTCGGTTTCGGATGAGCTCTGGCAGACACTTCTGGGATGCACCAATCTCGAGCGCCTAGAAATAGCTTACACGCGTACAAATGCCAACATCGATCTATTTTTTCAAGTCTGCAAGAGACTTCGACACTTGGATTGGATCATGTATTCTTACACCAGCTACCTTTCAACTTCCAAAATAGTGAGGCCAGCGAGCATATCTTCCCAAATATGCACACACTAAGTATTAGAAGCGTCAAAATAATCAATCCCCCATATCCGTACACATCATCTTATTGTCTCGGCATGTTGGTCAGGGAATGTCCAGGGTTGTGTGCACTGACATTTGACGATGGCACAGAGTCCTACAAAATTGAGCAACCAAAACACAATGATTTCCGCAGGGCAGCATTCCTTCAGCATCCCTGGGCACTAACAAACTTATCAGAGTTATGTATGCCTTCTATGATCATAAAAGACGAGGAGCTTGCAGCGCTTCTCAGACAGATGACTGAATTAAGAAAGCTACAAGTCCCATCTTGTGAACTCGGCCAACTCTCTCTGCAAGAGTTGCTAACTGAAAAACAAGGAATTCTGAGTAATGGTCATACGATGCGGAAGACAAGGCATCGGAGGCTCTGCGAGACTGTTGAAGTATTGACATTCAATGTACAAAGCGCAGATGGCATTGTTCAAGCCATTTTATCAAATTGCCCGCGCTTGAAGCGGATGAGAGGATCTAAAGTAACGGTGACAGAGATTGTCAATGGTTCAAGATGGGTGAGCACTAACCTGACTGATCTGAATATCTACCTTGAGGCAGACGTTGATCAAGAGACAGCAGAAGGCATGGCGAAGTCGCGTATTGCGTCCAAACAACTCGGAAAGTTGACTCGACTACGTTATCTTGATCTAACACGACAGAGTCCGAGAATAAGGGGGAAAAACGGACAACTGGATATAAAACTAAGAGCAGGTCTCGATGAGTTAGTCAACCTGAAGAACCTGACTTGGCTATGGTTTAGATATGATGGAAGTCAACGATTAGACTTTGAGGATGCAACATGGATTGTGAATAATTGGCCAAACATCGAGTTCTTGTCTCACTTTCTGATAGACGACGACCTCTCTGTATCCACTTCCGTGGATTCTTTATTCGGTTCACGCAATATTATACGTAGTTAGACTAAAGAAAGAACCACATTATCACTTCATGGTCTGCTATGAATAAAACTCTTTGGACATTCACTTGCCCAAAGTGTGTCTACTTTGCTGATGACAATGCTTCGATCGTGACAATAAAAATTTGGAAAAGTCTAAGAATTGATGGTTATTATCTCCGATGATTCAGGGGTGTTGAAGTTATAAAGGCCTCTGGGTCAGTGTTCTATATCTAATCTGTCGTCTCTTTGCAGGCTGAAGGCATTTTTTTTTTTTTTTTTTTTTTTTTTTTTCAGTGGAGTTTAAGTAACGTTGACTACAGGGGACAGAATGGCGATGCTTCATAAATTCAGCCCTTTTTTATTTTTATTTTTTATTTTATTTTATTTTTTTTAGAAAGGCACAACAAGAGATGATAAATATGCTGCCATTTAGAGAATGGGCATGGCTCACCGGCCTTATCCCCTTTATTTATTCTCTCTCTTCTCTCCTAAGGAAGAGTAGGGCATACTGCCGTGGGAACTATACTGCGCCAGACTATATCCAAACTGCTTTCTTTTTTTCAGCTTTATTTTTTGGTGACCCTGAACAGTGATATCATCGCCGGGTAGATATATACAGGTAATAATGCGTACTTTGAATGTATGCTTTGTATTGTAATTCTACAAAGAATATAAACAATAATAATATAAGCTGCCTGAACGTTCATGGGAACGCTAGCTGTATATAACTATTACTATAGCACTCGTTTGACGAGCAGTAGAAAGCTCTAAATGCCAGCGTATTTATCATCTCTTGCCGTGCCTTTCTAAGAAAATAAAAATAAAAAGAGCTGAATTTATACTATTAGTCATGAAGCACCCCCATTCTGTTCCCTGTAGCCAACGTTACTCATACTCCACTGAAAAAAAGAATGCCTTCAGCCTGCAAAGAGGCGACAGAGCAGATACAGGTCACCGGCCCAGAGGCCTTTATAACTTCAACACCTCTGAATCATTGAGTGTTTGTAGGAATGAATAGCACGCAGTGCATATCTAGCAGATTCAAGTAACCGTCATAATCGCATTGTCGCATTAAAGCGTGCTAGGATGCAGATTTTAAACTAGCTGCTGAATGCGAATTGTTAGTTGATAAGGGTGAATTGTGTCGGGATGGGCCGAGCCCTGCCGCATGCATAGGTCAACAAAGATGAATATGGGGTTTTCTCGCCGTAGCTGGGTTGCATAGTCTCACTAGACGCGTTCATAATCATCTGCGCTACCCTATTATTCCTTTTATCCCATTCATCGCTTTTTTTTTTAGATACTAATTTATAACAGTAGATCAAAGAGCAGCTAACTCTATTGGAATCCTTCTTTCTTCGTCATTTCTATTAATCAGGCTCTCTTTTCCCGTCAATGTTTTGGATTTTATGTGCTATGTAAATGTGAACGCACTGTAACATGGTAAGCGCCTGTAACAACACACGTCCACCAAAGTGGCAGTCCGAAATCATTGACTAAGGGACAGCTCATAGACTCTACTTAAGGAATTAACCAGAGCTATGCAGTTGTATGAGCGCAGCTAAAGCTAAATACATAGGCCTTAAGGCATGCTATGCTACTGAAAACAAAAAAAAAAAATTGCACTTTTGCACGACGTTTTCCTCTAAAGAAATAAACCAATGCTTGATGAGTAGAGGTGCTTTTAAAAACTTATGGTCAGCAACCTTTATCTTTGACACCTTTGTAGATTAGGTTGAAGGTCCTTTTCTCCTTTCAGTAGAGTATGAGCTATATTGATTATGGAGCTCGTTCGACAAATCAAATGTGCAGCCTAAACTAACGATTATAATCAAAACCCACTAAGGTATTCATGTGCTTGATTGGGTTGCTCCTTAAGGCCGTGAATGAGTCAATGTAGGTATTAGCCAGCTATATATTACTGAGCAGCTTGCTACCAATAGCTGACACAGTTTAGTCCATTGGCTTTGCTATTGATTGTCGCTACTAATCTTCTATTCCTATTTGAGGACATTTGCATTCACAATAATCACAGATCTATCACATTTTCAGACAAAAGACAAAGATCATTATATCTGATCTTGTCTTTTAATATTTATTGTTAATTGTTTTCTCTGCTGTGGTTTCCAAGCTGCATCTTGGCCCAAGAGTGGCAATGCCCTTGGTACGTGTGCATGGCTGGATATTTCCTAGTAGGCTTGGATTCTTTTGATGATGCTTTTTAGCATATCCTTTGATGGTGCCTTGGCTAACTGGCCTTGGTAACCTTGGTTGACTGGGCCTAATGACCTAGCTTTGGGTTGGCTGCCCTTGGTTAGCTGCTTTTGATTGTCTGGGCTCTTTCAGGTTACCCTTGATGGATTTTGGCTTTGGTAGTCTTTGATTTCCTTGATTGCGGCAAATTGTGTTTGATTAATTGCGGCTGCCTTCGATTGCTTTGACTAAGGTTTTCTGTCTTTGATTTTGTTGAGGCAATCTCTGGCTAGTATGGCTGAGGCAACCTTCTACCGGCTTTGGGCCTTGGCTGGCTTTCAATGAGGTTTCTTTTGGTTGAGTGGAGTGAGCTTGTTGGCTTTTTTTTTTCTTTTTTTCTTTTTTTTTTTTTTGCGCTGACGTGGCTGCTATCTGCTGCTTGCTTTCTGGCTTCTGGCTTCTGCTTTTGTTTTGGTTTCTGGTTTTTGACTTTTGGTTCCTGGCTTCTGGCTTTTGGTTCCTGGCTTCTGGCTTCTGGCTCCTGGCTTCTGGCTTTTGGCTCCTGGCTTCTGGCTTCTGCTTTTTGGTTTCTGGTTTTTGGTTTTTGACTTTTGGTTCCTGGCTTCTGGCTCCTGACTTCTGGCTTTGACTTCTGACTTCTGACTTCTGGCTTCTGACTTTCTGGCTTCTGACTTCTGTGCTTTCTGGCTTCTGCTTTGCAGGAGGTTTTTTTTTGTTTTTTTTTTTTTGGTTTTTTTTTTGGTTTTTTTTTTTTTTTTTTTTTTTTTTTTTTAAGTATTTTTTGGAGTTTTTTGGGGTTATTATATTGGCCTTGGCTGTGAACTGTTGGCTGTTGGCTGTTGGCTTGTTAGCTCTGAGTCTATCTCCTCAGACGCCCTACCTCGGTCTGATGCTCTTTCCCAGGCCTTCTGCTTTCCTCCATGGATCGTAGGCCTCGCTCCTCCAAGCAAAAGTCCCATTGCAGTGGTCTATCGAACAACTAATCAATGGAGCCTCACTTTGACCAGAGCACCTTTGGTTCAGACGGCAGGAAACAGGGATCACACAACATGACGCCTCTACGCCATGCACCCACTACGACCAGGCGTCCCTGGCGCAGCATCGCTAATTGGATAGCCTAAGGATGATAAGTCAGTAACAATGAACTATTCACAAAGCCCTATAGAGCACCGAGTTGCCAAAGATTCCACCTAACCAGAGAGAACGAAAGCAAAGGTAAAACAGAATTAATATGCTCTTTGTGTCTTTCTTTTCACCTACCTTAGATGTTACCAGGCCTCGGTAACACCTGTTCCTGCTCCTGATCCTGATCCTGCTGGAGGGGGAATCTCCTTGACGGCCGAAGCTCGAGCTCTACAGGACCCAGTGAATAATTCATTGGTACTGACTTACCATTCTCAGGCTACCGCAACTGTGTGTCATCCTGTCCCTACGCGAAATCCCCAGAGGCACTCGGATCAAGTGAGGCCCAGAGACTAGAAGTTCTCTAGCGCCACCACAATGGTCCTTCCTCAAGGAGTCGTGAGGGTCCGACGGAGTGGAACCCCCCATCAGAGCAGATGAGGAGTTCGGAGGAGGCGGCAGAGAGGCCGGCGGAGGGGCCCCGGGCTCCGATGGTAGGACGGAGTGGAGCCCTTATCGAATCGGATAGGCCTCTACGGAAAGAGCCGAAGAAATAAAGAAAAGAAAAAAAAAAAAAAAAAGCGTGGTTAGAATACTATAAAGAATAGCATAAACAGCAAACACCAAAAAAAAAGAAAAAAAAGTGCAATATGTTTACTCAATAAGAGAGAGTACTTACAGATCCGCTTAGGGCCCCATTTCGATAAGCACTGCATGAGCTTATTGCAGTCTTTGGGATGGTCGCCGCTGAGCATCCATCGGTAGTGTTTCTTGTGATGACTAGAAGGACAAAGGCAAAAAAATAGGAGTAAGTTAATGGACCTGCTGGACTCATTTAGCAATAGCTAAACAGTGGGTGACGGTAGGCAAGACAAAACGAAGCCATACATATGCTAGATACTTACTTGATGACGGCTCTATAGTGGATTGTATTTCACGGCTGGAATAGAGCATTTTTTATGGTCTCTGTGTGGCCTTTATAAGGCATGTGAAGGGAGGTGGAGAGGATGTGGGTGAAGAGAGGAGAAAAGAAAAGAAAAGCTGAGGGGAGACGAAGGGTATTTATGAAAATTGTTTTTCTTTTTGTGTCGTCGATATGACGTTTTACAGCAACGCAAAGGAAATTGGTATCCCACTGCCAAAGGTATTAAATAATAATACTAATAGCCATCATATGTCAGCAATAAAGAAAGCCATTGTGAAGTATAATAGTAAGCGAATGAGTGAGTAAAAAATAAATATTTGAAATGTAAAGAGATAACGCGTTCAGAGGGCAATGCCACAAAATTATTATTTTCCGCCATGACGCCTTCGGTCAGATGTTCGCATGAAAACTCTGTTTTCTGGTTGGTCAAAACATTTACACGGCAGATAAGAGAAGCAGACATTGTCCATCTTCGGTAAAATTAACCTTTTTTATCTCCAAATGCTGTATGAATGAGTATGGAAAGAACCATTGAGTCAAATATAATGAATAATACAAAATAATGCATTATATAGACATATACTTTCTTGCTGTCGACGGCGAGGGCTCTTTGGCGGATTGTGCTTTGGAGAAAAGGAGAAAGGATGAATGCTGAGTGGTTTTTGTAATCGCTCAGGGAAAATAGTAAGTGAAACCAATTTGTGATCTCAAAGTATTGACTGAATAGCAATACAAATACGACATTTTGCTTTTATGCAAGAAAAAAAAGAAAAGAAAACGGCATAGCGGGAATTGAAATCAATAATCTGTGCACCTGTGATATCATTCGTCAATTTTCATATGCTTACAAGGTGGAGAAAGAGAACAACATTCCATCCTCAAAGATATGCAGGGTCATACATACAACAATCTGCCTGCCCACAACAAGAGCACGAGCCACATTGCCCTCTTTGTATGGTGTACAACAAAGAAAGAAAGAAAAAACAGTGAGCAATGTGCTGTAGCTGGAGTAAAAGGACGAGACCCAAAGTACAAGCATATTAAAACTCGCATACTCTGTTTCTCACTCGCATAATCAGCTACTATTCACTATTCTTTATTACACATTTTGCATTGTATTGTATGGAAATAAAAATAAAAATAAGAAATAAAATAAAATTAAAATAAAAGTAAAAGTAAAATTAAAATAAAGTAAAAATAAAATAAAATAAAATTAAAAATAAAAGTAAAATTCAAAATAAGAGTAAAAATAAAAGTAAAAGTAAAAAACAAAAGTAAAAATGAAAATAATAAATAAAAAAAAAAATATATAAAAAATAAAAATAATAAATAATAAATAAAAAAAAAAATAATAAAAAAAATAAGATCGTATTGATTTTAGAATCAGGTGTCTAGTATGGTATGGCATACTAGGTAGATGGTAAGAATGGTTTTGAGCTTGAGTAGTGCTGCTTTGGCGGTGATCTGGGTTCGCGTGCTAACTGATTGCCTTGAACACCCGATAGATAAGATCAGCGCTTCATACGATTCTTTACACGAAGTCAGAAAAAGAGGTAGATAGGCTGATTGACAGTTTTGAACGGCTTGAGAGGGTCGTGCTCCGAAAATAGTACAGTATTTGAACAAGAACTATTTCATTTCAATAGCAGATAGAAGACCCTGGATGTTTTGCTATCGCGAAGTATTTCTTATGCTTCCATCAATACCAATAGCTATATTGAGTCGTAGCATAACACTTTGAAGTGCCATTTTTTTAAGGATAAGAAGCAACGACGTGTCGATAGCGTCATGTGCATCCCTTGTCCATAAAGCAATATATGTGTATTCGGCACACTGTTCGAGTTGGAAGGATGACGCCTGGAGCGAAGCAAGAACTGGCAGCCAAAATCAAGGTCTTGGATTATATTGAGGGCAAGCGGTCAGAGAACCCTGAGGCTGTTCTCATGTCTCTGACAGCAAGCGACAGGTCTTCAGTGTAAAGTCGTTCACTGACCCAGACAAATCATATGAGGTGGCAGTCGATTGGAAGGCGGGCGAAGTTGACCAGTTCAATGGGTGCACATGTCTTGATTTCTTTCGAGCAGAAATGTGCTGCAAGCATATCGCATTAGCGACGTTAGAGCTCCCTCATACCAGTTTTTTTTATCCTGGGGAAGTTAGAGAACAGTCTCTTTTAGAAAGCATTTTAGATGACAATGCACCTATTCCTGGAATACAAGAAGTAGTACAGGCTGTACAGAAAGCCTCTGATCTGTGCGAAGCACGACTTCCAGTGCTACCAGGACTCAAACTTAGTAATAAACGTCAGAGGCAACGGTGAATAAGTAATTTCTAGATAAATATAAAATATGAACAGGTTCAAAGCATTGAGTGAAGTTACGATTTCATATTTTATTCAGCTAATTATTACAAAAAAACAATAAAGTTTTTTTTTTTCTTTTTCTTTTTCTTTTTCTTTTTTTTTTCTTTTTCTTTTTCTTTCAAATGTTTCTACTTAAAAAAAACAATAAGTTTTTTTTTTTTTTTTTTTTTCCTCTTTTTCTTTCAAATATTTCTACTTCACAAAAAAACAATAAAGTTTTTTTTCTTTTTTTTTTTTCCTCGCTTCAAATATCATTCATCCTTCTCCAAGTTTGTGCATCCATATTGGGATCAGGGGTAGGATATCGACGTTGAGCAAACTCCTTGTATAAACTTACTATTTCTTCTCTTTCTTGTTTACGTCTTCTTTCTTCTTCGTCTCCTTCCTCTTCCTCATCCTTATTCGCTTCCTCGTCCATGGCCTTCTCCTCCTCCTTAGCCTTAGCCTCGTTCTTCTTCTTACCCCTAGCCTTCTCCTTACCTCTATCCTTCACCTTAGCCTCTTGTCGTTGTCGTTGCGATTGTGATGATTGCTGTCGTGTTTGCTGCTCCAGTCGATGGAGCTCTTCTCTTTTTCTTTGAGCTTCAATCTCTGCACGGACAGCTCTTTGCTGGGTTCGCAAAATGAACGGCTTAGGTTGAGTCAGAGGCCTCACCTCCTTCTTGGGTATAGGTTGCCTAGGAGGAAGAACCACCGCCTTTGGATTCTTAATCCTCCCCTCTTCTTCCAACAGCCTCTCTTCCTCCTCCCGCTGTTGAAGCCGTGCCCAGTATCGTTTGTTTCTACCTTCAGTCTCAAACTGGAAGGGTTTAGGGATTGTCCCTGTGGGCTTGGGCTTCGGCTTCAGCGTGGGCATCGGCGTTGATGCGCGCTTTATTGGTTTGGGCGCGAGTGGCCGAGATGCCAGAGGGTCGTATCGCCTCTTGGCGATAACTGGCGACTTTGGAGCCGCCAGTCTGGTTTTCACCAACGCTTGTGCCTTTGGTGGCGATGGTGGTGGCGGTGGCGGCGTTGCCTCTGTTTTTGGCTGTTGAGGTCGTGGCGTCGGCTTTGGGCGTACACCAAGAGGATCATATCGTCTCTTGGTGACCACAGGGGATTTAGGAGCTGTCAGTCGTGTTTTCTCCACTTTAGCTACACTCGAGGTTCCTGATCTTTGAAGGACCTATGCACGTGTATTGTGTATTAGAGAAAATAATAATTCTGTTACAACGATTCTTTACAGACACACATTTATACATAAAATATATAATACACATATTTCAGAACTCAAGAACAACAGCAACAACAACAGCAATAAAATATAAAACAAAATAAAACAATTAAAATAAAATAAAGTAAAATAGTGTAAAATAAAATAAAGCTCTCCACTGAAGACTCTACAACAAGTTAAGCAATTACCTTTTTTTGACTCATGAGTACACTCTTTTCAAGCTGCTGCTTGCGTTCTGAGAGAGGAATAAAAGGTGACTTGGGCTTAGCTTGCTGCTCATTGGCGATTAGGTCTTGCAGAACCGGTGAAACTGATGTAGCAACTGGTGGCGCTGATGTAGCAACTGGCAGCATTGGTGCAACAACCTGTGGATTAGAATGTGACTTGGTAGCATTGTTTTTATTGATGTGTGGAGTTGGATCATAAAAGATGGAGGGCTCTTCTTTATGTTTTTGCTGTTGTTGTAGCCATTGCTTGCCTTGAAGATATGCTCTTGCCATACGAATATTTCGAAGTGGTGTCATCTTTGCGTTCTTCTGTTCTTGCGTACCGGGTAAGTTGGGAAGGCTCATAATTATAAAGGGGGTATCGGGTATCAGGTATCAGGTATCAGGTATCAGGTATCAGGTAACAAGGCAATAGGTAAGAGCTTCTGAAGCTTGGACAAGTGGAATGGTTGAATGAAGAAAGGAAAAAAGGTAATCACAACTTATTAACTTTATATACGACGCGACATTGTAGGCACGTGAAACCGCGGTCACTAATAAAAGAAAGGCGTGTTGTACACCAGTGTTTTGTTAACAGCTCGCTGAAGTTCCCTTAAATTTTTTTAGTGTTCTATTCAATAAAACCAGCCTATCAGCTTCCACTTACTCAATACGTATGTACACAACCTCCGTCAAACGAAGCTATTCTCATTTGACATGGCATACTAAAAAAGGAAAAATAGTGCTTCAGCTATTTAGTCACGTTGTCGAACACTCCCACCACGCCACACGTCTTGGTCAATATAGGCATCCGCAATGATGCAAACATTGTTTGTTCATCAGCATTACTCTAAAGTTGAGCAAAACTCGTTGTTCCTCAACAGCTGTTTAACCTACGTGAAAAAAGAAGTAAGTACATTTACATTTAATATCGGACTGCAAATACACCGAGCTGTGCTGTCCGTAATAGATATCGGTCTACAATAATGATAAATATGGCATTCATGCAGCAGCAACAAGAGTACTGAAGATAAATGCAGTACTTCACACAGGACTCGAGATTAGCTGTCGGTTTTGCACCACTATCTAACAAAAGATCATGGGGTATTCATATTGCAATGAGCTTCTAATGATATCATGCAAATGGTATATGATTCAGCGGATCACGATGTTTGGTATCAGGTACTGGAATCGCTTGTCAAACATACAACATGTACAGGAAAGAAGGAGTAATGTTCGAAAGTCATGTTCAGTACATACTGCAGGTAGGGACCGTCGCTTTCTGGTCAAGAACTTTGATGATAAGACTGGTATACTTATTGATGTCAAAGCAAGGTCGAATACTAAATTGCTTCATACTCTGAAGCCCTATGTGGAAGATATTATGCAAGGATCTTATGGATTCCAAAAAGCAAGACCTTCCCTGTGTGGCTATGCTATCAGCTGCGAATTTTCTATTCCAGTACGACGAACAAAAGCAAACTCTTTGAAAAACCTGCAAGAAAAAAAAAACTGGATTTAGGTCGCATTTATTTTTGTTGTTCTGCAAGACCAGATTAAGGGATTCAAGAAACAACCCTTCAGAACTAATCGTGTAGATCTCACATACAAAGGAACTTCTAGATGTCAAGCAGGGATTAATTTGCAAGCAGGACCTAGGGAAATATAAAGAACAGGGTGAGTGTACAACACGAATTAAGATACATTGATAATATCCTATTTTTATTAAAAATAGCTTTTTGAAGAATGAAAAATAAAAATTTGGGACTATCCAGACCTGACTCATTATATTACAATTCGCAGATCAAATGGCAAGTGGTCTCTATTGATATTGATTTTTGTGTTAGTTTAGGTGAGAAGGACAGAAGATGTAGAAGAGAAGTGGAACTGAAGAGACAAAGAGACAGCCAGACTTCCTCCAATAGTTAAGGCTTATTCCGGCCTGGAAAAGCAAGCTAGTGTGAATACCAGTTGTAACAGACAACTTTTTTAAATTGTATGGAAAAACCTCCATTTGTCATTAATTTCCGAGTTACCAGAGGCGCTTTAATATTTGCCGAAAATCCGAAAGTTACAAACAACTACAGAACCTTTTTCTTGTGCTCTTCATTGCACAAAAAAATGTATAAATACTCCACGGGTGTGGTGTGAAACCATATCTCTATCTTTTCGCAAGCAAGCCCTTATTTCTTCTACAAACTTACAGCAATCATCATGTCTACACCTTCACACAAATATCGGTCAATCCAGCCTATCAACGATGAAAAACTGTTGACCCTAGAACAAAAACAGGAAATATTACAAAAATGGGATAGGCACGTAGCAAACTGCAACATAGAGGTCGGAGGAGAATCTCTATTTGAACCTGAAAAAAAAGTGTTCTGCGATTTCCTAAACATTCCAACGAAGACCTTTAACAACATACTAGCCAAAAGGGAAGAACTGCTGAACATTCCGGCCAACCAGTCCTCCGTGCGATATCGCCTTACAGCCAAAAGCAAATCGTTCTACCCAGTTGAAGTGATCCTTAACCATACCATTGAGCACTTCAGACGCGAGCTTCTTCTGCCTGTCGGTGGCTTGACAGTGCAGCTCATGGGAAGCGCAATTTATACGCTCCTTGAGTCCTCCGTGGGTAAGCTTACCTTTGACAAACCCAAATTTTCGAAGGGTTGGCTAAATGGCTTCAGAAGCGGTATGGACTCAAGACGTTTAAGCTTCAAGGAGAGGCGGCGTCAGTCAACATGGAGGAGATTCGCCCCCAATTGGACTGTATTAAAAATATCCTCAGTCAATATAGGCTCGAAGACATTTACAATTGCGATGAGACTGATTTGTTCCTTCAGTCCACATCTTCCTGGAGTATGGATTATGAATGGGCTTCTCGTGCCATGGTTTCTGGCACTAAGGTGCAGAGCACAAGGATTTCAATTCTTTTCGGCACAAATGCAACAGGAACCGATCAGCGCAAGCCCTTCATGTTGAGTAAGTGAAAAAATAGTATGAAGTTGGTACGAATAAAACACCATATTAATCCATTATTTTTTGCCATTATAGGCGAGAATTTGCCACAGGGATTCAAGGGAGCTAGAGAACTATTCCATTCAAAGTTTGAAGTTTTGCCATGGAAGAAGCCGAAGGACAAGTTGTGGATATCTCCCGGGGTTTTTTGAAGGAGAGTTCAGCAAGCTTCCAGTGGAGCTTCAAAGGGCACTTTACGAACCCTGGATTGGTAAAAGACCAGATTACATGACGATCTCAGTCTTTGAGATTTGGTTACTTCGGTTCCAGCTGAGTATCGCAGCCCAAGCTCCTGACCGCCGAGTCGCATTGTTGTTGGACAACGCCACGTGCCATATGCCTAGGGATATTGTGCGTGAACAACTTCGCAATGTACAGCTGGTGTTTCTTCCGAAAAATTCAACAAGCATGACACAGCCTCTTGATGCTGGCATAATAGCTGTATTCAAAATGAATTACAAAAAAGAATGCTTATTGAAGACTTTTTTTAAACGTCAGCAAGCACTGAGCGCGGGGATAGATGGAGCCAGGGTACGGAGGATGGGAATTGATAACATTGTAGGATGGGAAAATTGTTGCGCGAGCTTGGGCTGATGTGAAACAACAGTCGATTCGAAACTGTTTCGCACACGTCCCAATTTTCTGTAAGCAGCAAGAGGCTGAGCTCAGAGGAGCAGAAACTCAGTCTCGAGATCCTGGGGTTACTATGGCATAGACCAAATACGGAGAAGTCTTTTTGCTGAGCAACAGAGACTCTTGATGCTGAAGATATTCCTTTGAATTACGGACAAGATCCAGAAATAAGACCAGTTCAGAGCTCTCTTGAATCCGACGCCATGGTGTTGGCATTGTCCAAGCTCCTAGATGGATCCCGTCCTATTTGCCAGTACATTGATTCAATGCTGGAAACGTCCCATTTCATAGAATTTTTTAACCGTGAGAACAGGACTGATCTGGTAATCGGCCCCATGGGATAGGAGAAGATCTTGAAGAAGAGAACATGGACGACGATGATGATTATGAACCCAGTATTTCTTCTGACAGCCCTGTCGTGGATGGCTACAGCAATACTCTGTCCCCAGAGACGAGAAATCTCCAAACGCGGAGACAGGTATATAGCTCATACAGTGTTGCTCGGGAGGCATCGTCTGAAGAAATGGAAGAAATGGAGGAAATGGATCTGGATGGCGACAGGCGCGATATATGCATGAATCCTGAAATCGATCTTCAGGACCCATACATACTTTTTTGAGGCTTCAACGGTGCTAGAACACTTTGGTTACAGCGAGGTGCACAAAGACTAGAGGTTCTGTATGACTCTACAGCTAAAGAAGATACGATTTGCATCCCCGAGAGTCAATTCGAGAAGCACCGACTTCTGTATGAAGATGAGTTAAAGAAGCGGCGGATGGCATCTCAAATAGTAGAGGAGGATCGAAAAATTAGAGATATGTATTTGAATGGTGTAGGAAGTTACCAGCTGATGGGCAAACTCACACAGCTGCAAAATCCATCAGCGCAGTCACCAAGCTTAATGCAGTGTGCGTTAACTCCGCCCTCGGCCCCGGCTCCATCCCTACCTTTGACTCCATCTTCGTCTTCATATTCTATTCACCTTCATACCCATCCATACCCTTGGCCCCATTCTCGTCAGCATTTCCACCAAATCTAAGGCAGCGTGCGTTGGTCCCAGCCTCAGTCTCATCCCTATCCTCGGTCCGGATCTCGTCTTCATCCTCAATTTCGCCATCATGCCAACCTTCACTCCCATCCTCACTCCCATCCTTACCCTCATCAGTACATCCAAGGCAGCGGACGCTAGCTCCGGCCCCAGTAGATACACGACGTTTCATCCGACCATAGATCGGACGAACCAGATGGAGGTCCTTCACCCTCGATAAAATCGTCGCCTATCCTTTGTGTTGTTTAGCTGATTTGTAGCTCGCTGTAGTGGATCCTTTCGTCTCTTAGTTTTCGTTTGTTCATTCATTCATTCGTTCGTTCTCCTTTTTTCCTTCTCTTTTCTTTGTGCAGTACCGCTAGTTACCAAAAATAATCATTGCCAAATTGAAAAGATAAAACTATATATTGAACTAAAGCCATGCACGAGGGCTTTAACATACTGATGAAGGTTGTAGAAAGACAGATGTCTAAAAGTAAGAAATGACTCGCAGACATCATTTAAGCAAGCACAGGTTAAATAGGTCTCAATCAATATCTTTGCTATCATTATTTGGTATTTGCATCATTCAAAGTTGAGTAGTTAATAAGGCGAGATAAAAAATTGTTATTTTGAATATATATATTGATTATTACTGATGGTATATGTATATCAATTGAAAATATTACGGAAAAGAAGGAGGAAGGGGAAATGCAAAAAATGATCTCATGTTGATGAGGAGGGAGAAGATAAAATTGTTTTTGTTCAATTCACAGTCACTCTTCACCCTCTTGGATGATGAGCGACAGAACTCGCATTGTTTAACTACCCCTATTCACAAGTTCACCTCGCATTAACCTACACAAAGCAAGAATATACTTAAATATAGTCTCACAACTCTTTCTGGTGTCCATCTCGTTATTCAATTGAAGGTAGGTGGGTTACATCCAAAGTTCGGTACTGCGCAATATCCTCGCCTCTCTCCGTCTGTGTATCCAGCGTACATTCGATAAGCGTCCATTTGATGCGTCTGTAACAATTCCGTAAGACTTAGCAAGCTGGTATTCTTCATCTCCTCAACTCGTTTTCTTTCTTTTGTTGCACTGCCACGTCGAGCTGCACCATATTGTTTGCAGCCTTGAACATAATTTTCTTTCTCACCTCGGTGATTACAAGAATTTGAGATCCATGTGGCGCTCAAGTAAGCGAAGTCCACGGTCCTTGACCGCGCTTACCCACAAATCTATGTTGTTGCGCCAGAAAACATTTCTGACTTAAAGAAAACTCCATTGCTCCAACCATTATAGTATCGATGATTGTTGACCTTGTAGCCTCATTTGCACTTGGGTCGAACATATAGACATTGTTCCTGAGAGACACTGTTTCACAACTTGATCGAGCATATTCGCTTCTTCAATTGTCAAATCGCTGACCTCAATCTTAAAATCTGGTAGGGCTCCCGGATATGCTGCCACTTTATACTCTACAACGACGTCATTCCAGGTCCATGACGAAAATTGCTTAGATGGACTGTCCAAAGATATAGAAAGGGTTCGAGACTTTTTATCCAGAGCTTTTTCCAAAATAGCACGCAGTTGCTCGTTGCTTCTCAACAACACAGGGTGACCCCATCATGCACATATATTTGGATGTATTCGTATTCGTCTTCATCAATTTTCTCAAAATGTTGGCGAAGGACTTGCCGCAGTTCCTCAAGAGTTGCTGTTTGAGTATCAGTGTTAAATTGGCAAACAATCCTTTTTCCTTCTCTTTTGTGCACAATCCCAAGCGCTAGTTTAAATAAGTTATATTAGAATGCTTCTTTCGAAATCATAAGTTTCAAATAGTCTTTGCAACGTCGATCGCCACTTACATATCTCTGTGGCTCTCAAATCATTATTAGTTTGATCGACCTGTCGAGCTTGTAGATCCGACAGTTGTTTCTGTAAATATGCGATCTCTTCTAATTTTAGATCCAGTTGTTTCTGTAAATCTGTCGTCTCTAATAAAAATGAAATTAAAAAATTAAAAAGGAGTTCAAGTTACTGATGCAATTAATATTTTTGAATTGTTTTTTACCTGAAATTGGTACTTCAACAATGACCTGTATAGCTCTTTTAGACAGTTTGTTAAAGACATCTGAGAGAATGCTCGTTGAAGGTAGTTTCGTGGCGTCGTCCTGGTTCTTTAATTCAATTGGCTGATCCTCGTTTCCAAAGGGGATGGAGACGCTCCAGAGTTGAAGATCCTTGGGCTTGATGTTTGAGGCCACAGTAATATTGGAGTAGATGGCTTTCTTGAGATCGTCTACAGTGGCATCTTCTGACACGATAGCTGTGAAGGGCGTCTTTTCTCCATCAACAATGCAAAATAGTTTGACCATGGTTGAAATAGCTCGATATAAAATGAAAGTATGATGAAAATAAAGGCATAAAAAAAAAAAACAAACAGATGGGATGGGTTGACATTGAATGCGTCATATATCACGTGACTTTTGCCTGTTGTGGCTGGTCATTAATAGTTATATAAATTAATTATAACTATTTTATTTTTACTTTGTATCTACTAATCGGGACATTCTGTCAATCCACAGTTAAAAGAACCTTTGTGCAAAGCCTTAAGCTATCGGTGAGTCCACCTCACCTAGAAAGCATCACAGTCAGGCCTGTAGGCTAAGTTTATAAAAGCCAAAGAACTTCTTCCTCAATAAAGTCTTTAGTTTTCCCCATACGTCTTGTTCTTGCTATTATCTTTTCCCCTTTTCACAACAAGCATTTGCCGTCCAGGAACTCAGTTTGTGAGCTAACCTATAAAGCTCCCATCTTTCTCTTTCGGCTTCCTATGGCGCTGTTTGTCGTCAAGGTTGTTTGTCTTTATTTTTCTTGTTATTCTTGTTGACACTCTTTGTACTGTCCTTTCCTGATTTTGTGTCTCTCTTTTTGCCCCTTAAGCAAAGATACACCTACTATTTACAACATGCCGATATTGTAATATTTATTAAGTCAAATTCCAGTGTATGCCCATTAATAGGCAAAATGTTTCATAGGTTTCACGTACAGACACAGAGACACAGAGGTTAGAATTCAGGCACATGTCTTTTCACTACATCTAACTGAAAAGTAGAAACTAAAAGTATCTTTAGTTACACGCGCGTAGCGCGCTCACAAAGCGGTCTGATCTGATCAACACCTTGCTTCATACTCAATTCTTCATTCCCGCATTCCATTCCACTCATTCCACTCATTCCTCATCTGTACTCATTCCGTACTCAAAGGAAAATAACGCGCTTGAGGGAAGCTAACAATTGATCAAGCTCACTAAGATAGCGATTGAACAATTGAAATATGAGGAGAGTATATTCTTGAACTGGACTTGACAATATGAGCTAAAAGTATAAAACCATGTTCGCTTACATTTTTCTTTTTTATTCTTTTCTTTTATACATTATACATCATCGCTATTTATTACGATAACCACTACTTGCAACACTTGATCGTACTCACAAATATCTACCCAATTCCCTCAACAAAAAATATAAAGTAACCTATCAAGATGCCCCGCACTATCGCTTCTTCTTCTTCTGGCAACGCTGCCTCTTCATCAATAAACTCAGGTCCAAGCGGGACCTTCTTCGAATTTAGCGTGAAGCAAGGGAAAGAAGGAAGAAGTGGCTATGCACGAAAGGCTAAGGAAGCCAGAGATGAAAAAGAAAAAAGGAGAGAGATCCGCGAGGGCAAAAGAAGGGCCTGTTCTGTAGGCGTCCACAACGTCTCCGAGGAACACACCCCTCGCAAGCGGATCTACTCCCAAGCACGATTATCGGTGCAACAACTGATAACTCTTCCAGCCACCTTCAGTCGCCTTTTTCGTCTGAAGAAACAGCAGAGCAGAGAAAAACCTGTGCTAACCATGTTCTCGAATCTCTCCTCGCCAACAAGAATCCCTCAAAGACATTGCTGCAGTACAAGACATACTTGAAAGCTTGGCAGGTAAGTTTATTATTTTGTTTATTTGTTTATTTTATTTTTTAGGACAGTCAAATTTTTTTTTTCATGCTTCGTAATACAAAATATGCAAATACAATATAAATGATAGGTGTTCTGCAGCACAAGAGAAAAAGGGACTGCAGCGTTGACGCAAGAAAAATGTTAAAGTTTTTCGAGGAGGTTGTTTTCAAGCGCACAGTAAAGAAATATATTGATTCAAACGCGGGATTCAGTGGCGTCGTTGGAAAGGCTTCATCACAAGCGGCCAGATCAGTGTTAGAGGGCAAGCTGACTCGCGAAAATAAGAGAAAACCAAAGGCTTGGAAAGCAGAGACAGAGGAAAGTATTTTTCAGGATGTTGTCCATGAGCTGGAGCAAAATTATAGCCAACGTAATTCACAGCCTTATGAGACTCCGGCATTTGAGGGGTTTGAGGAAGCCTCCCAAGGTGACAAAGACGATGCAGGAAGCGAAGACGAGGAACAAAATCACTCGCAACCAGCTGAAGAAGAGGCCCTCATGTCTGCTGAACCACAAGCCCTCATGGTCTCCTCCATTGCGGAAAGAGCAAAAAGTAAATCTAGTGTAATCATGTAACCAAAATAACCTTGTTCAAAGCTGTGGCTCACTCTTAATTGACATTCTGACACTTCATTTTAATCCAAATATAGTTCTTTCGCATCCGCAAACTGATGAGACTGGCCGAAGATTCATCTATGCGCCTATCTCGATAGAAACAGTGGATTGTGCCAGGAAGGCATTAATTTATCTCTACAAGGAGCAAGCGTCATCAAAGGTGGATTGGCCAAACCCTGCACCTCATCCGCGCAAGGATATCCCGCTGAAGGAGGCTATCGAGGAATACGAGGGGAAACTAGTGTACGACACCTCATTCCAGGGATCGACGCGCACTGATACCTGTTCTATTCGCGACCCCTATAATGAGAAGCAGTTCATTCGGATGGCCCTCCATACGTGGGGTATGAAGCCAATGCTGCGGCTAAAAGGGAAGCGAGTGTACCATGCGGAAGGTAGATTTCAATATATGCGTGAGCGCCTTTGCATCTTGGCACGACACCATATGCTGCTGCGAGATGAAGACATTCGCAATCTTAACCTATCTGATGTGTTCAGTATCATGTTTCCCATCCGGCAAGTGGGTCCCAGCCAGCTCTCGGACTTACGTTTTGCATATCTCGTGGCAAAACAAATAAAAAGGGTGTTAAGCTTTATGCAACCGCCTTTCGTCATAAAGTTTTTTACAGGTGTACTGTAGGAGCGTTTGGCTTCTACATGTTAGAACGATTTATGGTAAGAGATTTGTGCCATTCTTGTCTCTTCTTACTGCAATATAGGTTATGTACTTTCCTAGCTCGTTGTTAAATGTTGGGTCGCGTACCATTCCTATAATAGCTGGATAAGGAGGATGTCCCAAACTTCGCTGATCCTGACGATTGGTACAACATCAAGCTTTTGGTCGCGGCTAGTACGATCGAGAAGCGCAACGCAGGCCTTCGCAAGAATGCTGTTGCACCAAAGACTCAAATCGATGCCACAGCTTCTGTGATGCGAACCTGTGGCTTTATTCGACCAAGGTCACTCACGCCGGTCGACACGCAGGAACATCAGATGCGTACCGTCTGGGCTTAGGCTTGGAGCATATCCGTCACCTTGGGCGTTGGGTAATGGGACAGATGGAGAGTTTCTATGCTCCAAAGAACCCCACCACTGGCGCGTTTTATATGGCTCATTTCAACAAGGAACAGGAACCTTATATCCTTGAGCGTAATCTCGTTATCCCTGACTTGGAGCTGCAGAGGAAAATTTTCCCTTGGATCGAAGGGAACTTTAACAGCAGCGCTAGAGAGAATGAGGAATGGGTCAAGGATTGTAATGATGCTATGACAGATGTAAACCCCGGAT